GGCGAGCGGTGCAGTCTGGGTTCTGCTGCACAACACAGGGCTGGCGCAACTGGCTAGCTAGCTGACCACTTGAAATGGTAACTTTTCCTAATATTATCGACCTTTTGTGAGATTTGGTGTCTAGATACAAACAATGAGTGGGCATTTAGCCCTTTGTTTAAAAATATTAGCCATGTATTAACAGTAGAAACCGACGGGTATAGAAATGTGTATATCCGTTTGTAGCCTGCTAATGCTAAGCTATGTTAGCTTTGCCTTCTCATCTAACGTTAGCTTTAGGTGTAATTTAGCTTGGCTAACCTTGGAAGATATGTAATATAAGCCAACTAACCCAGTTAGCTGAACATCAGCCGTCATTGTCAGACCTTTAGTGTCGATTTATTTAACTGTCAGGCTTAATATTGACTCCTCAACATCTCAAGGCTGTTTCTTGTGACTATTTCGGCGTTAGCTCAGCGTTTAATAACTTGCACTGGTTGGTAATTCTTGGTAGTTTATACATCAATGTTGTCGTGTCAATTTATCTGTATCCAGAAAAAACCTACATACACCAGTAGTGTAAATACCTTAGTACATTTACTCAGGTATTGTTAAGTACAATTTTCACAGATTGTACTTTATTTGACTATTTCCATTTGTGTTGCTACTTTGTACTTCTACCCCACTACAATTCAGAGGCAAATGGGGTACTTTTAGTCCACTACATTTATTTATTTATTATATTTAGTTACTTTGCAGACTTGGATTAATAATGTGTAATGTAAACAACCCCTAAATAAGACTAGAAACACCTGGATTAAAATTCACAAGCTACCCTGCATCATACAACGTTTATAAACTAGCTGCACATTTACCAGCTTTGTTAAACACATTAATGAATCAATAACTTTAATCAAAACGTATCATATATTATTCTGAAATGGGCCAATTTGCATATCGAGTACTTTTGGTTCGTTAGGTATATTTTGATGCCAATACGTTTGGACTTTTACTTAAGTAACATTTTGAATGCAGGACTTGTAACAGAGTATTACTACACTCTGGTACTTCTACTTTTAACTAAATACAAGATCTGAGTACTTCTCCCACCTCTGCTGGACATACTAAATATGAAATAGTGTGACAATTAAACTTCCAACTAAATAAGCATTGTTGTTCCTTAATTGGTTTAGCCTCAACACAAGTTTACTCTAACGGTACATACATGGTAATAAGGTGTTTTAAACAGTGGCCAGATGGACATTGACTCGGCCTACTGAGATGTTTTGTCAAGCAAAGCGTTTGATTCACATAAACAGCTGTCCTGTTTGATCCCATGTTAAATAGAGCGTATTGAGGTATAGAACAACTCACTTCAAGTCAAGTTGCCTTTAGCCTAGTTTCTAACGTAAAATTCTCTGCCCACCTTCCCTCAGGACGTGTTCTTAATGATCCGGCGTCAAAAGACCACAATCTTCACCGATGCCAAGGAGTCCACCACTGTGTATGAGCTGAAGCGTATTGTTGAAGGAATTCTTAAGAGACCACCAGAGGACCAGAGGCTGTACAAAGTGAGTTTAGGGCTTGGTATAACAATGACACCTAATCAAGTTTCCTTTCATTATTGACAGCATCTCAATTCTGTGTGGGTACCGGTGGTTGCATGTAACTTGTCTTTTCCAAGTGTGACTTGTAATTCTTTGGACATGTCTCACACACTCTATTTATATTTATGAAAGCAAATGCATTCATTTTAAGCCACTGCTGATCCTGTGACTTATTCAACTTTTTCTCCACAGGATGATCAGTCGCTAGAGGACAGTAAAACTCTTGGTGACTGTGGATTCACCAACCAGACTGCCAGACCTCAAGCCCCAGCTACAGTTGGTCTGGCCTTCCGCATAAATGGTATGTTTAATTCATTTGTAGTTGGTTTAAGTATCCAGGATATCTCATTTCTAGCCAACTGTGAAGATCAAAAACAGTTTAGAGCCACCCAGGAGGCATTTTGTAATTAAACATATATTTACGATATACTCTGTCTAAATTAGTGACACAACTGTTTAGATTATGATTTCAATCCTTTTGCGAGTGCATGTAACCAGGCTGGTTCTTTGAAATATTCTGGCAAAAACCGTGCCGCAGTAAATGTTTACCGCAGCGACATGAGTGAGTGCCACATGCTACTCTTCTGTCACGATGGGGCTAATGTTTCCTCGTCTTCTCCGCCTCTCAGATGAGATGTTCGAGCAGCTGCACGTCGAGGCCTTCTCCAGCCCCCCAGAACTCCCCGATGTGATGAAGCCCCAGGACTCCGGTAGCACGGCTAACGAACAGGCGGTGCAGTGATGTCAGGGAGCGAGCAATGGAGGGGAGGATGGAAGTGGGTGTGTGTGGATTAACAGCAGTGGAGAAGTAGCGGGGTGGAGGATATGTAATATAATTTCAGTTGATGGATGGGGACGTCATAGGTAACCAAACCTATACATGTTACCTTCATGGTATCATCCCAGCTTACCCCCCCAATTTGCTTCACAAATCTTTTTCTTTTAAACTTTATGATTTCCACATCACATGCGGTTCTGCTCCTTGACTTTGCTATTAAGCCCCAACTGGCTTAGACGTCTTGAGTGGTGAAGTTGGTTTGGAAAGTATGATTGTGTGCGCGCGTACGTTATTATTATCATTAATATTTTGGGAAAGGTTGAAAGCGTAGTTGTGTGTCACTGATCTAGAAGTAACATGCATAGATAAAGAGTCCGGTGTCTGAATCGGCAAACTGCATGAATTCAAAACAAAGGCTTTATTTTCAAAGAAACGGATAAACCTTCAACTGATACGTTTCCTTGGTCTGAGTCTCCCAGTTTTGTTGTACATTTCTGATTTCATGTCATACCAGGAAAGAAGTCTTTAAAATAATGTTTAGTTTTTTGCTGTCATTTATTTTCAGTATGTTTGTCAGTTCTTTGTATGTTTCATGCACTGAAACCAAAGGCAGGTACCTCTTGGACAACAGAGGGATTTTTTCAGTCAAAGGACATTCTGTCTCTGGCATACAGTAAACAGGAGTTTTCTGGGGTTAAACATTTAGTTTTGAAAATGCATCCATCACCACATGTCACCAACCATCAATGTGGCACTTTCCCCTAATCACACAAACATAGCCTGTAACTGTGAGCTTGCATAATTAAAAGTGTTCCTGTTGTTTTTTACACTGATGGCTGACTTATTATAAAAAAACAGGTTTGTGTCCACATGTAATGAACCGCATTAAAGGGGTCTCTGTTGAGCCGGGCTGTAGCTTAAGCACAGCTTTTTTAGTGAGTAGAGGGTAATGCACAGGTGTAACTAATAACATTAACGATGGCTCTGAAGCTGCTTAATGAAATTCAGCCATCGTTACCTTCATGATTTACACCTGTGCTTTCCATACTATGAACGTCCGCAGTAAATAGGTTTCTGGTATTTGAGCACATGAAGTGCAGTTTTGATTCAGTATACATTTAAAACAAAGAAGCAAATGTTCAGATTGTTTTCAGCGCTCTTAAAAGTATAGGAGATTGTTACGTTCCCTCCTAAACTAGGTACAAAGGGAAGTAACAAAACACAAAAACAACCGGGCGAGAGAAGAAGGAAAGGAAACTGACTGCTGAAGCCACAAAGTGATGCTTTAATTAATAAATAAAAAAGAAAAGAGGCTCACCAGCCAATTTGCAAAACAAACTTAAAGTAACTAAGAACAACTTTCCTCTAAAAGAAAGTAACTAAATTAAACAATACACACAAAGGTAAACTGGAGTACATATCCTAACAATTCACAAACACAGAGACATGCTGCACACATGCAGCCAGAGGAGAAGGAGAGGGCACTGTAGCCTTCCTCGGGTCCTTTAAGGAGGCCCTGATTGGGGATTGGGAGCACCTGGAGGAGAGGCTGCACCTGGAGACAATCAGGGAGAGAGAGAGAAACACACACACACACACACACAAGCACCCACTGTGGCACGTAACAGAGATAATAAATGAATATATTAAACAAAAGTATCTGGTTCAGTAGCACCTGTAATCACATTCCCTGCAAATATTTTGTTAGTCAATTTTCTTTTCTACTTATATCAAAGTAGTCAACATCAACTCAGTCCTGCAATTGTATGTGATCGGGTGCCTCAAAGTTCTAATGTAGTTATAATTGTATATTGTGCTCACATGGGTCCATTAAAGAAATTAAGTTATGTTTTGACAAATTGCCTGAAACTGACTCGCATAGAGAAAGACCTGGCGAGTAATCCAGTAAAAAAGTACTGCAGGGTTTATGGGTCTCTATTCAAAACATAATGACGCTGCTATCTGCATTTTACTGTTTTTGAATGTTAATATTGTGTTATAATGCAATATGAAACAATCCTGAAGAAACCTCTTAGAAAATAGTTTATTGGATAGTCATGTAGTGTGCTTAAACTATTTTTAATTCGTTTTTCAAATTACTTTTTTAGCAGATACTGCTGTAATGTTTTATAATAAACAGAATTATATTATACAAAACTTCAATTAGAAAATATTTATTTTTTAAAACTTTTTTTTCTTCTAAATGATAAAATAATTGCTTGGATTAGGATTTGTTTGTTCTCTATGGTCTCTTTTACTGATATAAAATAGGTTATATATAGAAATAATCAAATAGCTTCAGTCCTAACCGAAATTATGTTTTTGCAAGCTCCTTCTTAAAAAGGGGTTCCGCCCCTTCAGTGTTTATCCTTGAGGTTGTGTTTACTGTGAAAGACACAGCGGTAAATTAGGGATTCTGTCCCCGGTTCTCACGTACATCGTCCCAGCAGCACGTCCAACTCTCGGCGCCTCTAAATCTTAATTTCTCTCCCAAATATGGACCAGGAATGTCCAGGATGACGTCGCCTGTCCGGGGAATGCGGGTTTGTAACCACATTTATTTAACTACGCCTTCTTCCAGTCTGAGGTCCTGGTAGGCATTACACAGGAAGAGTGGTGTAGGAAAAAGAAACGGGACGCCCTCCTCCTCCTCCTCCTCCTCCTCTTCCTCTTCTCTTGGCGGATAACGGTGTTCAAGAAGTTATTCAGGACCGACGCAGACAATAGCCCCGAGACTGTAGTCCATGTTGCGGCTTTGATACGCGTCCATCACTACTTATTAATGCTGTCTGCGTCCGTATTGTGTCACACAAAGAGGAAAACGCTCGGCTGAAATCATATCATGGACGATTTGGGTAAGTATTACTGCTGTTCTTCCTCCTCTACATGTTGGATATCTGGAGGGGATCTTTGGGAAGGGGTGGTGTGTCCAAACAGAGGAAATAAGGTCTCTGTGCATTCTGGTAATCATAGTGGAGGAGAATTTCCTTTTCGGTCCACAGGGACATGTATGGGTCTGCAGTGTAAAGGGGATTTATTGGCTCCCTTAACATTTTAATACAGATAAAAGCAATTTGAACATCCTTTAATACAACAATTGTACAGTTTATATGTCAAAAATATGTTTTTTCCCCTTAATCTGATAATACCTATTGTCCTGGAGGTGATTCTCTATCCTCTGAGATTTAAAACAATGTTTTGTTTTTGCGTTATTGTGTTTACCTTTCCAAGCAAACAGGCCAAACATGCACAAATACTCACACAGGTACCACAAGAGCTGGTACTACATTACTCTTTGACTGCCTGACCGCCATTGAGTGCTTTGTGCATGCCCTGCTAATTCAATATACTCTTTATAAATGAGATTAAAGGGGATTCACTGTGGGCTTTCCCATCCATTCATATTAACAAGCCATGGATGGAAAGAAGCCACATAATGTTCAACAGAGTATTTTGAAGATATCAAAGGGGGTTGTGTGTTCAGCGTCAGGAAGCATGATCTGTCTTTTTCTATTGATGTTATAAAATATGCACTCTTTTCTTGGAACAACATTATGAGAAGCTGACTGTGTGTGTGTGTCGGAAAGGCCCTGAAATAGCCCCGGGCCACTCTGCTATTTTCAAAAAAAGCCACAGAGTTCAATGAAAATAGAAAGGCCTTTCTCTTCCGCTGCCCATTTTGCTCTCATAGGAACTTTTTCTTTCTTGAAGTCCACTTCTGTATTAGGGGACTTATGCTTTACAAGCAACCCTGGAAGGAATGGCTAGATGCAGCCAAGCACATCTGGGCACATCTGGTTTGGATTGCACACAGAGAGGCCGAGCTAATGGGTGACTGGGTGAGCGTTAGTCAGGCGGTGGCCATGTTCGGGACGCTCAGTTTATCCTGTTGTCTAATAATGTTGAAGGTTTATGTATTGGATCTGGCGAGGCTTTTCGGTGAGATAGACCACTTGTTAGAGAGGCTATTAGCCAAGACAAACAAGTCGACAGGCAGCTCTAAATATGGTCATAATTCCCATTCAGAGAAGTTCAGCTCCTTATATGAGCAGTTCACTCTGTAAGTGTGTGTGTGTGTGTGTGTGTGTGTGTGTGTGTGTGTGTGTGTGTGTGTGTATGTGTGTGTGTGTGTGTGTGTGTGTGAGTGAGTGTGTGAGTGAGAGAGAGAGAGAGAGAGAGGCACACAGCAGGAAGGAGGAGGGTGAGTAGTATATGCACAAGTTTCTCACCACATGGCCGTACCAGAAGTGTGAATCATCTGTGGCAGAATTGGCCGCAGGGATGAACTAATGCAGGGTCACCTGGTAATGTTCCTCATGTCTCACAACTGATTACCTCAGATGTTTAAAAAACGTCTAGTCCATTAGATCAAACACCCAAAGTCAACCAGAGTAAAGGGTCTTATGTGTTCTACAGCAAACAGTTATTGTTTTAAGTTTCTTATCAAAAGACAACACATTATAAAAACCTCCCAAACATGGCTTATTTTCCTTTCTGTTGAAGTTTAGTCCTGTTTTTGTTCTTGAAAGGATCTACCAGTAGATCAGTGGTTCCTAAACACAGGCTACTTCTGCCATTTCTAGGATGTATTTTCATTGTATATTACTAGGGCTGCAGCAAATTAATATTATTTTATTATCGATGGTTTGATCTATAAAATGTCACAAAATAGTGGACTAACATCCACCCCAGCTTCTCAAAGTCCAAGGTGATGAATGTCTCGTTCACTCCGTCCAAAACCAATATATATTCATTTGAATCCGATATCAAAGAGCAGGAAACGATCCAAATATTTGAGAGGCTAAAAACATGACCTGCCATTCCTAATGAAAAATGTGGCGATTCATTGATTTTCCATGTAGTTGACAACTTTTTTCCTGTCAATGAACAACTCTATATACTAATAACCAATAAACGACTGGTTTTGATAAGCTTTTTTTCTTATCCAAAGTGAGTCTTAGAATTACCAAAATGGTGTAATGCGTGAATATTTGTTGAAAAGCAGGTGAAAGGGGCCAACATTTTTTTTTTAAGTGATAGATTAATGGTTGAACAATCCAATGTATGACACTGCAGCTGGTAATAGTGGGTAAACATCTCAAACAAAACCTCTCATATTCGTCCAAAACAGCAGCCTCCTCTGTACAATTTACACTTTGTAATTAGTCATGTTCAGCTCTCTTTCTACAAACTCCAGCTTTGGCCTTAATTTGCACATACATGGACTTGTCAGCGCTGAATGATGTCATGCAGCGGCTAACCCTTGAGCAAGTTTAGCTTCTGGACAGCTTCCACTTGGAGTGGATTTAGATATCAGCTGCCAAACACTCTTCCTCCTCTGCTTCCTATCCGAACTGGCATGTGTTTGATAAGTTTGTGTTCTAATAACTTCACTGTTTTGATGGATTATATCTGGATCGTGCCAAGTCTAACTGTCCTGTCCTCTGACTGATTATTGGTGTGTGGACGCTTGTTGTCCTCCATGTCCTGTTATGCTGCTGCTGCTGTATTATTGGTCACACAGGCTGTCTGTCTCTCCTTAGGAGTGCCTGAGCCACTTAACTACCCTCTCAGTCCTCGTATTGTTGTGTTTGGTACGTAACTGTCTCTGCACGTATTTGCCTGTCTGTCATTGTGTCTGCCTGTACGCCATTTACTGATCCTTATCATCTGTCTATCATCCAGTGTGTCTCTGTCTGCACTGCATGTTTTTGAAATCATACCTCTTTCTAACTCTCTTTGGTGCTTCATAAACAAACTGATATCACGACCAGGGGTATTAAAAAAGATATAGAAATGTATTATGGGGAAGTTAATTGTCTTTGAAGGTACAATGATAAGGATACAAAACATTGTAAATCCCACACGATCACCACTAAATGTGTGACGGTGTCTGTATCTGCAGAGACCCTCTGTCTTACTGTATATTCTCATTTGGCTGTGTTTGGGATGTTTCTTGGCATTAACCCTTCGAAAAAATATAGGAAACGGGCAAAATTGTAAGCTCGTATTCAAGAAAAGCTACAAAAATCGGGGGGGAAAAACCAACTACAGTGAATCACCAAGCAGACAAAACAAAAGCACACTTATAAAACTCATTGTGCCTTCAATTTTCATTAAAAAGACAACCTGAAGCTAAACCAAATCATAAATCCTTCCACTATTCCATTCCATTCATGCTTTTTCATGTTATTTATGAGTTTCTTTCCCCTCTCTTCCCCTCCAGATGCCCTCCTCGCTGACCTGGAGAACACCGGCTCTCCTCTCGCTCGGTGTCCGGTCCTGCTCACCTCGGACCCCCCACAAGATTCAGAGGCTGAGCCCCCGGAGTCTGAAGAGAATCGACCACCTCCCCCCGCCTACACACCACAGCAGGTACACAAGCAGGAAGTCATCCGTTTTCTAATTTCAGACTCTGATATGAATTATGGTAATGTTGTCCTAAGACTTTGACGTCTGGTTACAAATCTCCTCTGTGAGTTCAAGCTGCTTCTTCATCACTGAAAACCTGATTGATGTTTATTGGTTTTTCCTCTCAGACTGTTTCTGCTGCCATGAAGTCTTCCCAAAACTCCAACCCAGACAAATTATACAGGTAACTCCTTCTCTGACTTCCATAACCTATTGGCATGCTTTAAGTAAGTCTTCTTACATCAAGTCTTCTTCTTACAGTTTAAAATCTCTAACTGAATAAGCAGAGTAATGCTTTACCTTGGAAAGGGACACGAAGGAGGAATGTAAAATCAACAAATGCTGTGCCGCTATTTATATTCTCATAAGTGTTATCTTAACAGTACAGTCTTACATAAAGATTTGCGAGATCTTGCAAAAGTAAACATTTTTAATACTTTTTTTACCAAACATTTTCATCTACAATTCAGAATGGAAATGAATAAGTGTAGCGAAATGGCGAAACAGTCTGATTATCATTCTGCACATTTCTGTGAATAAACAGAAGCTTTTTTACTATCAGAGAAACATTCAGTCATTCAAAGCTCTCTTTGTGTTGGCATGGGAAAATATCTGCCCAAAGCGGCAATAATTATAAATCACTTTTTTTCTACATTTTGTCTATTTTCAAGAAAGAATGTGTTTGGATGCTAAACATCTGTTATGGACAGATGAGGGTCTGCTGCTACATGACTAATGTCTGACTGGACAATGTTCAAGAGTCTCTCATGAGTCATGACAAACTGACCATGATAACACAAACCGCATTAGTGACAGGATGTTTCTTGATCTGTGTTAATGTTATTCTGTTTTTCCTTCCTTGCAGCACAGTGTGCAAACCGCGCTCTCCGCGCACAGCAGACCCTCCGCCGGCCTTCTCCTCCTCCTCGCTGCTGGGAGGAGGTCTGAGTGAACTGGACCATCTGTTACAGGAGCTCAACGCCACGCAGTTCAACATCACAGGTCAGTGTGTGTGTGTGTGTGTGTGTGTGTGTGTGTGTGTGTGTGTGTGTGTGTGTGTGGTGTGTGTGTGTGTGTGTGTGTGTGTGTGTGTGTGTGTGTGTGTGTGTGTGTGTGTGTGTGTGTGCGTGTGTGTGTGTGTGATATTTACTTCCCTGTGTTTATCTCTAAGGGAATCTTTCATTAATATGGCTTTGTATTTGTCTTCAGATGAGATCCTGGCCCAGTTCCCGTCTTCTAAGAAAGACGAAAGAGACAAGATGAAGGATAAAATTATGTCCACCTCTTCCAGGTACCAGATGTAATCAATTTGATGTCAAATGTAACCTAATCTAGTGAATGCAGACTACTTACTAAAGAGTTTCCATATCAGGACAGCTGCACAAATGAGCGAAAGATAAACAAACACTGCTTATGTGCAATATACATTTTATTACAATTTTGTTTTTATTATCACTGGCTGCTACTTCACCACCTTTTCATGTTCACTCACTTAATAATAATAATAATAATAATGCTGCTTATTTCATTTTGAATAATGTCTGCTTGCCTCTTTATTCAATATGTTAGTCCACTTGTGTTATTGAGTCTTTTATTTTCACTGTTTCTTCTGTGGGACAAATAAAAGATTTCTGAGAAAGCTTGAATCCATTCAAAGTGTGCTACCCTATCATTTTTAACATCTTGATGAAAAAGTTTGTTTCTTCATTTTAACCAAATATAATCCATAACAACTGAAAGTGTCTTGGTGATGTTTAAAAGCAGGTCTGTCTTGTGCACTCAAACATCCGTCAACAACCATGTTTACTAGGTCCCACTCTGTTGAATTCAAGCCAGTATGTTAAATAAGACAAGATGAAATAGTGTGTTTGTTAGTTTACCAAAACAAGAATTGTCTTTTGCTCTTTCTAGCTCCGCGAAGCCTTCAGCTACATCAGCCACACTGGAGCTGGACAAGCTCATGGCCTCTCTGTCCGACTTCAGAGTGCAGAGCACAGTGAGAGACCTCACAACACACACACACACACACACACACACACACACACACACACACACACACACACTGATTCATGTTGGGGTCATGAAGACGTTCACTTGACTTTGTGATGACTTCACTTTACGCAGTAAAGGTCGCAGCACATAAATCACCGGATAGAGCCCGAGGATGCAAATTAGTCTTGGTAGAGATCTTTTCAGCATAAGAGATATCTCTGAAGTCAGAGTCAAAGGTCCTCTTTTGGTATGGTACATCATCTGATATTCAGTGAGTCAGTGTGCTAGCACGAGAGCATATGAAGTGGTTCTGTAGTTTTAAGTGTGTTTGGTTCCAGCTGTGTGTTATAAACAAGTGAGAGCACAAGGCTGGGGGAACATTGAAAACCCAGTGTTTTAAAAAGGAGCATTTCTCCATTGGGTATACTTTGCTGCTGTGTTCCCAGATGTTGGTATGTACCTGGATTAGCCGTGCTAACTTTGTGGTTCTAGGCATGGCATGTCAGGCCACTGATCCATACGGAGATATTTCAACACCTGCTCTACACACAAATTAAATAGTTTATGACCAAATGCCAGGGAAATGTTTGAAATGTACATCAATTGCAATGTCAGTATGCAACACTTTGTTTCCATGTCCTTCTTCCTCTTGTCCCAAACTCACTACATAAACAGTCACTGCTTTATTTCTATTAGTTTCAAACTAACTTCAGATTGATATAAACTCTTGCTAAATCTCAAAGACAGATGTGCCATGCATCATTTTCCTTTGTCTGTGTTTCCAGCCAGCTGCACCCGTCACTCCAGTGGTGACAGCCCCGCCGCAGCCCACCCCCCCGCCGCAGGCCTCGTCCGGCGGCTCGTTGGACAGCATGCTGGGCCTGCTTCAGTCAGACCTGACCCGACAGGGGGTTCAAACATCCTCCAAAGGAAACTGTTCGGCTTGTCAGAAGCCAGTAGTCGGACAGGTGAGCTCTTAGAATATAGTCATAGATTTATAAAACTGTATTGAGCTCCCGAGAACTCATTTATATACATTTTTCATAATTATAAACCACAAAAGGTTAATTACTTGTGTCTGTTTACTCGTGCAGGTGGTCACGGCTCTTGGGAAGGTGTGGCACCCGGAGCACTTTGTGTGCACTGAGTGTGAGACAGAGTTAGGCAGTCGCAACTTCTTTGAAAAGGACGGGCGGCCGTACTGCGAGTCGGACTACTTCACGCTCTTCTCCCCTCACTGTGCGCAATGCAACAAGCCCATTCTAAATGTGAGTGACTTAGTTGTGCATGTCACTTCACTCAAAGACTTTTTTGACACCGGCAAATTACTACCTCAACCCACCTTAAGTAACTTTTCAATCCTTTTGTCAGAAAATGGTCACCGCTCTGGATAAGAACTGGCACCCGGAGTGTTTCTGCTGTGTGAAGTGCAGCCGGGCGTTTGGAGAGGAAGGTAATGGGCGGCACACACTGTTTCCTGTCTGGGTTTAACACACAACTGTTGACAGTGAATTTTATACAATTCATACTTACATACAACCCTTAAAAGCTCTGCACATTGTTTGTTTTACGGTTGCAATCTGTTAAATCTGTTAAATATGTTAAAAGCTAGAAATAAGTTTGCATTGATTTACTTTATGACCCTGGGAGCTCTGTTACCTTCTTTTAAACAGCTGTTAACCTCTCAAAAAAACACTAAATTACTATGGTTTTCAAAGGAGAGTTCATGTTCTGTTGTAAATGCAGTTACAGTCTGCCAACAATTCCGGAAAAACACTGAATCTTTGGCAGAACATGTCCAAATTCAAAGCAGAACAAGCTTTGAGATACCATCAGCCTTTAGAAACTCACATCAATAAAACCATAAACCATTAAAGACGGATTAAAGTATAAAGTACCACAGGCCAGAGTCACCTTGGAAACGTTCTGATGTTTTCTTCCGAGCTTCATCCGGTTCATTTAACATTTATCAACTTGAGCTGTGTAAAACTAAGACCACATCTCCTGCAGGTTTCCATGACCGTGAGGGCCAGCAGTATTGCCAGCAGTGCTTCTTGACTCTGTTTGCGTCCCGCTGTCAAGGCTGCAGCCAGCCCATCCTGGAAAACTACATCTCAGCCCTCAACTCTCTCTGGCACCCGCAGTGCTTCGTTTGTAGGGTGAGTGTTTCTCTGTGGGGGGGGGGGGGGGGGGTAGATTGTTACCTGGTGTTACGGGTGTAGCTGTTAAAGACTTCATCTGACAAAGAGACAGGTTGAATTTAAAGGTACGCTGTGAAGTTTATATTTGGTCTGTATCTTTGAAATCTTATAAATGTGTTAAATGTATTTTCAAAACTTTTGATTCACAAATAAAAACAGTTTTCACAAATTCCTTTCTAAAAGTCATATATTCTAGAAAGATAATCATAAATGTGTTTCATTTACATGTAAATCAATTTCATGTATTCACAGATTTTTTGTTAGTGTGTTTACTTCTGTTTTTGTAACAGATTTACGTACGGATTGATGATGTTCACAGAAACAATATGAGTCAATCTTTTTACATTTTGAAATCTTCTGATGTGTAACCGTGTGGTGTGGGCAGGGCGTTCCTAAAACCGAAAAAACTGAAAAAAACAAAAAATAAGTTTGAATTATGTCATGAGAAAGTTGTCATTTCCCCTGCCAGATGTGTAATTACAGTTCGATGAGTCAGCGCTCTTCACTGTGACTGACTCTGCGTTTCTCTGACTCTTCTTCAGGAGTGCTACTGCCCCTTCGTCAACGGCAGCTTCTTCGAACACGAGGGTCAGCCGCTGTGCGAGGCCCACTACCACCAGTCCCGCGGCAGCATGTGTCAGGCCTGCCAGCAGCCGATCCTGGGCCGCTGCGTCACCGCCATGGGAGCCAAATTTCACCCCCACCACCTTGTGTGTCACTTCTGCCTGAAACCCCTGAGCAAAGGCTGCTTCAAGGAGCAGGAGAACAAGCCCTACTGCCACCCCTGCTTCATCAAACTCTTTGGTTGAGGACGCTCTGCCTCCCCCTCCTCCTCTGAGACAAGAGTTCTCAATTAGTTTGTTTTTTACCGCGGGAATGAGGGTGGAGCTGGTCTCTTTATTGGTTTTTAGAATATAACTTTGATAGAGGGCAGGGAATAAAAATGAGAAGCATCCAACCCAATACATTTCTGTTCATTTCACAATTTAAAAAAAGGACTGCATTTTGACTGGCAGGGTGAAATGTAAGTCTAGCATTAGTTAGACAGATTTAAAATGAAGCCAAATGATTTAGTCATGTATGTAAATTATTACATACCGTGTTGATTCAAATTGAATATTGAAAAATTGAAATCTTTTGCCAAAGGTAGAAATGAAACAGTATATTAAGAGCAAATGTATTGTTTCAGTGAAGGACTTGTACTGTTGAGCGAAAAGAAAATCCCCTTTAATATATTTGCTTTATATTGCAAAAAGTATATAAAGTGCCACTGCTATTGCATTTATATATTGTACGCTGACTGCTTTATGCTGTATGTTTTTTTGTAAACTCTTATATGTTCAATGTCAGATATTTTTGCATTATTATTTCACTTTTGCTCTATGCAATTTGCCAAAAACTATTCCAAAGAATGAAATAAAGGAGAACACAACTTGTTATAATCTGCTTCATGGGTGAATGAATCTTTATAACCGAAGAAGGGTAATTCCAAGGCCACAAAAAAAAATCAAAGAACAGTGTATTTTGTGGAAAGTACATCTAAAAATTAATGTATTGTACATTGTATCTATTTTACAAACAACATGATATAACGTATTTTCTGGTAAGTCAAACAGGGCACATTAGGAGTATTACTAAGTCTATTAAGAACAGAAAAAACTTTAGCGTAATCAGATATAAAATATGTGAAAAAAGAAAATAGATTAAATTAAGATAATTGCATGTTTATATATGCACAACACTAGAGACAAACATTCACACTGATACACATGACAGTATTTAATGTCGAGAAGAGTTGTAATGTAATAAGTTGACACATTTCCATTTAAATTGTGCGTTTTTATCAATTTATATTACTGCATATTCTTGAATCTTTGATTAATTATGCTTTTTTTTAAAGTATGACTTCATATTCAATAGGGGAGGTATCTTTATAAGACATTTTCTTCTATCTATCAATCTACTGTTCTTTTTATAACACATCTAAATGAACCAAAGTAAACCAAAAATGCTGCAGTAATACACGTGGACCACTAGATGTCCCTGTTCACCCATCGCTTTGAGTATTACTGTTTTTTTAAATCATTGCCTGCATCCTGAATGTGTCCATATATTCAAAATAAACAGTACAATTAATATAAACTCTTTATCAAATGTATAACCACATTTGATATCCATAAACAGTAAGCATACAGTAGGTTTGAGATGATAGTTAAGTGTTGACGTGTGCGCGCCTCTGAAGCTTGCACAGGTGAGTTCATTTACAGTTAATGAGCCTTGCGCGCTGTATGACAAGAGCCAGCAGGTAACTTGCAGCAGAAAGAAAGTCACCGTGAACCGTCGGCGTAAAAAAAACGAAAAAAAAGACACAATGAGTGATTCAGAACAGCAACAAGTAAGTCCGTATCATTAGACTGCTTTCAATTAGTTAAATTGTTGTTGTGTCAATTTGGGGCGTACATTGCATGCTAACAAGCTAGTCAGGTGGTCAGCATGCTCATTAGCATATTAGTCGTTTTTACCACCATTGCTGGCAAAATGTGCAAACATTTGTAAATGAAAGCTAATTTTATAGCCTGAAGTTGCATTTCCGGCTTGTTTTTGAACGCTTCTCTTCATTTTGCTGCTTTGTAGTCATGTGTGTTTTAATCCCACAGGAGGCTGAGAAGGAGTCCCAGCCTCAGTGGCCTGAGAATGGAGGAGAGTGGAGTGATGAAGAGGATGGGACCAACATGGACTGTGGGCTCCTGCAGGCCATGGCTGAGGAAGATGAGGCGATAAACGTCCACAATGAGGAGACGTTTGGAATGGGTGTGTAGATGTGTTTCTCTTTGTCCATTAGTTCCAAGCTAGGTACAAAAGTAATCCCTTCTTTAGATAGAGCAACAGCCCTGTTAGCTCAACAGGCTGCTGGCTCCAGCTTCATGCCCGGTTTACTTTCTCTTATATTTCTGAGGCTTAACCTTTAGATGCACGAGTGACTGGACCCTACACTCTTCCATAAGTGGGTCTAAAAGGACCCGTATTAGAGTAATATGTGTTTTTTATGCCATCTTTTTCATTTTGGTTAAGAAAAATCACTTGTATAATATTTAGTATTATATTTTGGTTCACACTAGAAACATTTTATATTTCATTTTTCACAATTTATAATTTTAGAAATTTCTTTTACATTTTGAAAAAAAATTGATGCAAATATCTCCGCTATTCTGAGACCCTCACAATATTCCAGTCCCTTTTCAAAACTCATCTCTTCTCCTCTTGTCTACTCATAGCGCCCCCCCATCAATCCATGCCGGTTGATCAAGTTTGATAGTCCTATACCCCCCACCCTAACTTTCCCTTATATTGTAAAGCGATGTTGAGTCCTTGAAAAGCCCTATACAAATATAATGTATTATTATACTGACTGACTGACAGGTATCAGATCTTGCTGTGTAAAATAATCTTCCTGAGAGGTGTCACTTGTGATGTAGTCTGTGTGGTCTACAGTGAATGTATTCCTGACAGCAACAGGTGATAAGAATCAAAGGTTCCCATAGGATCCCATAGAAAATGTATGCGTGTCATTTTTGACCCACTTATGGAAGCTTGGGGTAGTAATACAAAAACTACAATTTCTTAAAATGTACATTTTAAAATGTGAATGGCATGATATCCAAAACATGTTTTTTGAGGAATAGCTGGAATATGAAATGATAAAAAATGTAATTACAACGATACTTCAAGAAAACCACCTCACCGGGTCCAAAAAGACCCAAGGGTTGCAAACTCCCATGTGTAGGGATGAAATCTTCACTCTGAGTCTTTCTACATGTGTCTGTATCAGATCTGGATGCCACAGAGGACCCCAGCGTCGATGTGCTTCAGTTTGGAGTGCCGCTGCCCCCACCACCTCCACCTCCACCAGACCCCAAACCCTCGCCCCGCAGCAGCCCCCCCTCCCCTCCCAGACAGAGACCACAGTATTTCTCCCGGGCTCCTCCAGCGCAGCGTGGCAGATGCAGGGCGCTGAGAGGAGGGCTGGGCAGGGGGCAGATGTTTGAAGACCCCGCTGTGATGAGGACAGTGGAGGGGAGACCCAGCATCAAGGTGATTCAGATACATTAATTTATTATGAGATTTGAGATTTGAAAGCTTAACTACATTTCTTTTGTTCTGCTTTTTAAGACTCTTGACAGTGCCATAGTGGACCTCGGGAATACCATGTATCATAAAACCTTTGACGATGATGTAAGTGTCGCTTTTTTTCATAAATAAAGCCTTTTTTGCTTTATTTATATTTGTTTATAGTGGGGAAACTAAAACAAACATAAATAAAACTCGGCACAAGACATGCAAGGGAACTACACTCAGACAAACCAAAAGGAAAACACCAGCAACAATTTAAGGAAAGGGCGTATTGTTCGGTTTAGATTTGCTTTGTTCGTACCGCTAATGTTTCATTGCTTGATGTTTTTTGTTTTAGTTTATGTTACCATCTTCCACAAAGACTAGAAGAATCTCAGGATCAATACTTCAGGTTAGGATCACTAAAGAACACATTCTCTGTGGCAGTGAGTTACCTAAACAAACGCTTTTCTTATTTCATTCTGTTTCTTAGGACAGTGCTATCGTGTGTGTGATTGATGGTCACAGAGGGAGAGGGCAGCACCTGACCTCCAACTTCCGGGATGTGCCGTGTCCCGCCTCTTTCTACAGGGGCCGGACAGGGGAGCTCGGAGGATCTTACTCCAGGAGCCCGTTTGACCTAAGAGGCCCCTCTCAGGTGGAGGATTACATTTAGCAGAGTAGTTCCACATTTCAGGGTTTTCCTTTTTATTGCTATATTTTTGATGAGAGGACCAATACCACTCTGTTACTTGTCGACAGTCTTAATGCTAAGCGAACACATTGTTTGCTGAAGATATAATAATAACCCATTGTACTGTATCAATCTTCTTCTCTGAATATCTACAATAAATGAAATGCACTTTCTAAACTGTTTAGTATACCCAAACAGGTCAAGTGTTCCTTCAATTAATAATGTTTTCTTGCAGATGCATACGTCCATGGTAGGAGGATCACCTATCTTCTCACGTCAGCCGTTAACCCCACGGCAACATTACAATCAGGTTTGTTCAATAATACATTGGCCCTATTTTTGATGCGTTAAAGGGCCAGTGTGTAGTACTTGGGAGGATCTATTCTCAGCCCTTTATCCTTAGGGTACAGGTCCTCTTCTTCGGGGTCTCCTATGCTGCTTCAATGAACCCCTATGTTTGTATAAAGGACAAACCAATCACTGGCTCTAAAGAAGGCCTTTTCATGTTTTTAAATTGTTTTATTTGACCTCAAAACAACATTGTGGATCCTGAAAGATACCACCGTGTCACCACACTTGTGTAAAGGGAGACTTGAATAGAGGGGTATTCAGTTGGTTGCAAAGCCAAAAAATTCACACTGTCAAAAAAACTAAATCAATAAAAAGGGGCAGTCTAGCAAACGTATTTACAAAGAGTTGTTTGCATTTATCTGACGGATGTTTTTATTTTTGTTCTGAAGCAGACCGGAGGCTTCATGCGCTGCCCCGCCACCCCAAAGATGATACAACTTCGCTTCGGTGCCAACTCTCCGAGGCCGTCCACCTTTTACAGCCCCTCGTCTAATCCGGTACAGCATTTGAGGTGTGTCGTGATCCCGTGTATCACACAGGGATGTTTGATTTGTGGCTGGAAATATTTGTCAGTGAAGTTAAAAGTACCACATATATTTATGACTTGGCAATCTTTTTTAATTCCTCATACGTATATAAATCTCTTCATTGGCCTGACATTCTGGATCCTATCAAATCCCTGGCATTGCTGTGTATTTACATGATACAGTTATAAGAGTTGATCTAAGGGAAGCAGCTGTAAATCTCATAAACAAATCCTTCATGTAAAGGATAAATCAGGGAAGGCATTAATACATTTGAACCGGATGTACTTTGGCATCAAAGGACATGACATATTGATGAAGGCTATACAACCAGCCACGAAACTTAACAGAGAATAGTGGACAAATCTCATATAAAACTTGATGTGCATTTCCTATGTCTTCAAACTTTATAAACAATTAATGTTGTCTTTAAAAAATGAATAAGCTTAATTACTTGAACCAGAGCCACTATCAGATTCACCCTAAAACTGTGGAGTGTTAAACTAATCCGCTGTGCTTTTTAATTTGATTGTTTGACCCACAGATACCCCGGTCCCGTCACCATGCTCCACCCACAACATAGACGGCTTCTCAGTCAAAAACAACGTATTTTCCAAAGGTGAGTATTCAAAGATTCCAAACCATTTCATATTCAGTATGTCACACAAAAGGGAAAGGCCTATTTATAAAAACAATATGACCTCTGTAGAAAAACAGAGGACTGGGATCCTTACTGTAATCTCATGACGGCCAAAGAGAAGGAGTGGATCACCCGGCTGCAGATGATCCAGCTGCAGAGTGAGAATCCGTACCATGAGGACTACTACTACCAGGTGGGAAATATTAGCTCCTGCGTCTTCTTCTTTCTTTCGAGATCTTGCCCCTTTTTTTAAAGTTTTTTTTTTTTTTTTTTGTATCAGAAAAGCCAATTCTAGAGTGCATTACCAAATACTTAAATCATTTCATAACTAGAAACTTTGAACTTTGTTTTAGGAGTACTACCGGCGAATAGAAGCTAAGATGGCAGAGGAAGAGCTGGGCATCAGGAGCAAGAGGGAGCCGCCTAAACTCACCACACCTTACATCACGAAAACTGATGTTTACGCACCAGGTTTATCATCTATCTTCACCTTTTCATGTTATGAACTCATGTTATTGCATTTGTTTTGCCAGCCTGCATGTTGAGAAATGTCTACTCTAGGAGCTCTTAGTGCGGAACATGTTTTTTCTCCACCTGTTAAAGTGTGTTTCTCTTGCAGTGGTGCACATTGAAGGCTCTTTGGGTCAGGTTGCTGTGTCCACATGTTACTCTCCTCGCCGGGCCATCAGCGCAGTCAATGCAGTCAATGCAGTCCACACTCAGGGCCCGCTCGAGGTGACTGTGTTTATGAGAAACATTTGTCCTATTTTAAATGTATTTATTTGCTGTTCCTAATACTGAGACATATTTCCTCATTACAGGAACAGAAAGACATCAAGCAGCAGCGGTTAGAGGTCCTCAGTAAAATAGAAAAGGTACCTGCTTATTACTTGTTTTGATCCAGGTAGATGTATTTTATTCACCTTCTCAAACAGCCGCTCACACCTGTTCTGCCCTGCAGTTGTTCATGGTTCTGTTGGAGGTGGAGGAGGCGGAGAGGATGAAAACCCCTCTCTTGTCTGAAGCAGAAGAAAGGACGATCATGGAGAAGTCCCAGGGCAAAGTGGAGCACATCTACTCCCAGCTGCAACATCACAGCACCCTGTGAGTTGTACACACCCTGCCTCCAGGGGTAGATCACTGAGAAGTGATGCATTTTGGTTAAAGTGACATGCATTTACTTCGTTTTGTTAGCTTTTTTTAATGAAGCTATTACTTTTTGAGTTGTATAATTGTGATGGATGTTACATTTGGTCAATGATGTTTCGATGCAGAGATTCAGGAGTGGAGTTTCTTCCTTTCCTGCTGGTCTCAAAAGGCAAAAGGCTCCTCGCCCGTCTGCTCCCGTTCCTGAAAAATAATGCTGCTCTGAAAATCTTGAGCATAGTGACCTCTAACCTTCCTGCACTGATGGGCAGAGATTCAGAAGAGGTAGGGGTTAGATTCACTTGACGTTGTGTGTTAAAAAACGCCAACTTTTGATAATTATGTTTCGAGCTTAGTTCAAAAGGTCAGGAATAATCTTCCATTCTCAAAACCTTAAAACAATATACATTTCAGGCCCTTCCAGTGCTCTACCCTCCTCTTCGCAAAGTGATTGGAGGCCTGGCGTTCAGCCAGCTGATCGGCGTCCTCAAAGAGCTGACGACATACGAGTCTCTGACGCTGGCATGTCAGAACAAGGTCTGAGCTTTCTGTTGCTCTTTGGCTTTTATTTAATGCCACTTTTGCATCAATGTTTTGTGACCTTTTGTCCTTTCAGTTTGGACTGTCCTTGCTGTACGCTCTCCTGTCCCAAGGAGAGAAGCTGCTGTCCTCAGGCATTCCTCTAGAGCCCAGCATCGGCGACTTTGAGACATGGTGGGGCTTTTAAAGCCTTTATTCTGTGATGAATCATTTTAACATCCTCATACAATATTGACCTTTATGATTGACCCCTCTTAGTTGATTAGTCTGCTAATTGGATGTTTTGTCTTAGTTACAAAAGTATTTGAAGTCTTGTTCCTATTCTGGATGATATCTTTTAGTTAATACAATATTCCAATGGATGTTTTTGCGTGATTATTCAAGTTTCAAGGCTTTTATTGTCATGTGTGCATAGCTACAGTGTAGTTATGACAATGAACATCGTAGGTCACAGGCTCCTCCAACAGTGCAACACAATAAAATAGTACAAGTAAATAAAATAAAATATAATAGAAACAGAATATGACGCTGAAACTGTGCAGAATAGTCTATATACAGTAATTGCAATATTGATATCTATGTGAGTGGCAAACAGATTAATGTTATGTTTGTTCTTTCAAAAGTTCAGGTGTGTAACCTTCTTATGGCCTGTGGGATGAAACTGTCCCAAGTGCAAGAACTCCGTTTTACAGATAATTTGATTAAATCAACTCGACAAAATCATGAGCCCTAAAGACATTAGTGTCCCTTTTTGTCTTTCAGGACGGACACCATCTTCCAGGTGGCGGGACAGCTGTCTGAGTCTTCTCTGGTGGAGCCGCTGCTCATGCCCTCCAACCTGCTGACTCTCTTCTGCCGTTACCTGGACAAGCGCACTGTGCACCAGCTGAAAAGCAACATGGAGTAAGTCCCTTCTTTACATGTTTTGATACAAAAGGAGTATATCTTCACATGGTATACAAATGCAATATTTATTCTTAAATGCAGACCAAAATATCATTGTAAAATATCTTTATCTAGGTCTGCTACTGGATACCTGGCTCTTGCATCTTAAGGTGGACGTAAGCTGAAGAGACGTTCAGCTAATGCCCAGCTTGTGATGAACACTAGAGTTATAGGAGAAGCAAAATGCTGAAAGACTCCTCAGTGTTTATTCACGAAAGAAGAATGTACAAAATGCTTTGATGCTTATATTTTTTCCTCCTCTTCCTTATCCCTTCACATTTTTGCACACCGTCTGTTTCCCCTTTTTATTTCCTTTGTCTGATCGTTTGACTTTCCTCTCTTTGGTCTCCAGTAGGTTACAGCATTGCAAGTTATTCTGAAGTCGCAAACCTGATTTTTTTCTTTTGTTTTAATAACAAATTGCCATCATTTCGTGAGATATGCCATATACTGAGTTGGTAACATTAACTAGCAGATGGAGCTGACTTCTTTATTTGTATTCTATCCGATCCCCGTTACATTCAGGACGGAAAACGTACTGAGATAAATGTGTTGGATTAGATATTGGTGACCAGGTTGAGGATTGTATAGTATTTAAGATTGTACAGCTGAACCTTTCTGTTCATTATTATAATAATAATAACTATGAAGGTAGTTGTCATGGCATAGTCCGTCAACTTAAGCAATGCAATTTAGATTTTTTTGTAAAAAGGCATGCATTGTGTCCAAATGTATAGTGATACAAAATAAGATGTATTTGATGTCATTTTTATTTATTATATTATTTTGGAAACCGTGATCATTTATATTGCACCCTTGTAGAGCACTTGCAACACAAATAAAAAAAATATCTTTAAAAAAGAGCCACAGTTTTATCAAGTCTGCAGAACATTCAGAGCGCACTAACCGTGAAGGATATTTGGAGTCCACGTCCTATACTGGATTTTACTCGAGTCTGGTTTAAGTGGTGCTGCGGGTCTGTACTCACTCACTCATACTTCAGGGAAATAACTTGAAGGGGCCCTATAATGCTTTTGGGCTTTTCCCTTTCCTGATTTATATATAGGTTTGTGTGCATGTAAATGGTCTGCAAAGCCTGACATCCCAAAGGTCCCTCCAGAGGGAGTTTCTCTCCCACACACTCTAATGTTGAACTAACATGTTTCAGAAGCCCTTGAACAGTTTTAACATGGTTACAAGTTTAATCCTACATACTAGCATTTGATAAGGTAAGAAGAAAAGGGGGAAATGTTATTGCGTCCGATAGCCCAAACATTAAAGATTCTGTGAACGAAACATGAGAATAAATTAAGATTTAAGTAGGCAGCGTCCATGAAGGCCATGGCTTAATTATGCTATGAATTTACTTTCAAATCGGAGTCTGTGATCCTGATTATATATTCTTTTTTTTGCCGAAGGGAGTTGAGGTTTAACTAAACCAATAAGCCGTAGTTCTGTCCTGAAACGCCAGTGTGTGACATTCCTACAGGGAGAAACCGGCAGTGGGACATGACGTCACTTTAGACCCGTTACAGGGGGTTTCTATACAGAGCTAAACTTGTCAAAATAGAGTTACTTAGAAAAAAGATTCACAAATACGCAAGGACAGTTTCACCAAAAGTAAATAATTACAGGAGGTGACTGCGGTGAGGAGGAGAATACCAGTGGTGAAAGCAGACAGGAGCCAAACATTGATACAGTTATTTGAACGTGGTTATAACGCTGATTCTTGGTGCATTATTTTAGCGCTGTGCCAGCAGGAACACTTTGTAATGATATGTGCACTACACAAGGCCTGTTTCTGCTGAACCACTGTTAGGTCTTTCTCCCTTAATGTGTTTTGGTTTGTCACTGACCATCTATAAAAAGGCTCCATAAAGTGTTGCCAGACATTGAATATTGATATATGGGACTAGCGTGGTTAAACGTTCTCGCCATGTATGGTAAAAATAAATAGCAGTATAGATTACAGTTAATATTTGACTATACACATAATACTGTAACTAGGCAACGCTGTATTTAATCATGTGCTTTTTAGTTGGGGGGGGGGGGGTCAAGGAGGATCACTTTGATGCAAATAACAATTGCTATATTATATTTCTTTGAGATGGTCCAATGTAGAGGTGTACCTTGAGCAATGTTACAACAGATTAACCTTAAACGAGAACATTTAATGAATTGTGTTTATTGCTTGTTACAGCAGTGCTGCAGTGTATTGACGTAATAGGATTATAAAGATTATTACAGAAAACTGATATATTAAGACCGTGAAAACATATTGTGCGCTTTATAAAGTAGTAAATGAACCATACTTTGGTGTTCTTGCACTTCATCCCTTCACCAGTACATTGAAGTTATTTTCTTTGACCCACCTCCTGCTCAGACCTCTCTGTGCTCACAGCTTATTTATTTACAGCAGTTTTGGAGCAATGTTTTGAATTGAAGTTGTATTTCCAACCAGCATTAAACAATCCAACAGCTGGCAGAGTCCACTGGCTGTCCACCAAACACTGAGTCAGAGCGCTGTTGGCACTCCTGCCTCTAACAGCTGCACACATCTGGGCAGGGAAAATACAGCGACACGGCTGTGTGCAGTCAGAGAATCCTTGTCGAACAGTGGTTGCTCTGTGGTCTAGAGCCCATGTGTTTTTCCCGGTACACAGAGCGACACACTAACATCCTGACCACCAGCTCAAACTCTATGAATTATTACATTAACCAATACAATCTGGCATGTGTCAGTTCATCATGTGTTTGTTAATAGTTTCTGTGTTCAGGATGGGTATTGAAAGTATTAGGTACAATATTATTTGTGTTTTTGAAAACACAAATTTGCCACAGGGTAGGAATTCTTCATTTGATATCAATGCCATTGTGTGTTCTGTAGAAATGTGTAGGTAAATATTTAAATTACCCAGGGCTTTTAAGCTTTATGACCGTTTCACCTCTGAAAGGTTTAGTACAAACATGCATTTTCCACTCCGCACAGCTCCTACACAGGAGCTACATGCCTGTAAAAGCTGCTCCCAACAGGGCATCTTTCAACAGTCTACAGAAATGTTAACGGCTCTGTGAGGCACGCTGGTGCTTTGAGCTAAATGCTAACATCAGCATGCCAACTTGTGCACAATGAAGAGGCTGGAATGCTGATGTTAAAAGGAACAGTTTACCCACAAATCGTATATATTCCCGCTTAATCTTAGATTACTCAAACTAGATTGTTTTGTTGTGAGTTGGAGATGTATGTCATGGCACAAGGCTTGTGGCACCAAAAATACATTTGAAACTCAAAAGCAATGTCTCTTTCTAAGAAACCATGACATGGTTACTAAAGATAATCCACAGACCTTGTCAATATTTTCATGTAGGAACTATTTTCTTTGGAACAATTCCCTCCTAACATATTCCCGTTCATGCATGTGCTGAAATGGTAAAAACAAAGATGTTCTTATATGGATCTGGTGGTAAAGGAAGATGGAGTCATCCGGATTCCTCCTCTGGGGATCATGAGTGTATAAAAAAAGTAACCATTAGATGAGGGTGTGCATGCTGTGATTTAAAACGGATTATGTACTTTTTTAGATATCTCAAGTTTACATGTTTAATGTCAACTCTAACAACCACCATGTTATTACATTAAGTATCATTATATGGGCTTCATGACATCCTACTTTCATTCCATTGTATGCCTGATGTTAAACACCTGATGTAAAACACCACGGCAACTTAAATATTTCCAAAATTGATGACACTGAGGGATTAGAGGAGGAATTGAAAGACACATTTGTTACCTGGCGGTGAAAGTTAGACGGATGGTTGTCAGTAGCAGCGGAGATGGTGAGTGACTTTGTTGAGAAGCCAAGTATGTGAGAGGTCTGGGTGGGCTGTGAGGTGAGACGTTAACCTCTCATTGACCCCATAAGAAGAGGATTTGGACTTTGAGTGAGGAATCTATGTGAACGGTGAGATATCTTTCTCTTTTTACTCCCTTTTCTTTCTTTAAATATACAAGGGGCCGCTCTCACTAACTGTGTGTGTTGGCTGCGACCATGGAGACATGACGGACTGATAGAGGCGGGAGCTGAGGATGAAGCTCGCTCGCACTTTCCATCATTCCTCTATTAAGAGACCTCGCTGTAACTTGGAGTGATGTCATAAAGTCCATTCACGAATAAAACTGTGGACAGGATGCATGTTGAGCTTTCTGTACATTATAAACTCCTTTGTATTTGTTTAAGACACAACATTCCTGCAAAAACACTTTTACAAATCAAATATTTGACTAAACTGTTTCCTTTTCAGACGATTGCGTGTAGGAGTTTAACTTTGTTGGGTTCTGTCACTGGTGCAGACATTAAAAATGATTTATGTCTAGAGTTTAGCACAGCATGTCAGAAGTACACGTTTGTTTTATTTTATTGTATGGTGTGAGTGACTTGTGTCATTCTTTACATGCTATATTTTACTAGACTGCAGTTCATTCAAATATTAAACAGTGCACGGTTTCTAGTGAAACCCATTTATTTATGCTTTGCATTACATTCGGAAGCGTTGGCCTTTGCTGTGAGGATATATACAGTTTGAAAATATTTTTGATAGTCTGTATAAACAATTTAGATTTTGACAGTGATGTTTCTGCCTTTAATCCATGTTGTGTGATGCTCTGTCAAGACTTCATCAGTCAATGTCCAATCTGCTGAGCTCCCGCTCTTTGCTCCTCTATGTCTCCCTTTAGTGTTAATGTACTTTAAGTGCCCAATTATTTAGTTAGTGTGTGTGTCTCCCAACAAGTGGGGGAGGATCTGGGGAACAGGAGCATCTATAAGCAGAAGGAGGGGCGCCTCAGACAGAGTGTATATGAGACCCTCACAATCACGGTACGTTGCCCACTTCAGATCATCTGCTTCACTCTCATTCTCCTGCTGGGTCCAAAACATTTTCCCCTCCAGGTCCACTATGATGGGACGACTACTTCTTCAGAGCGCCCTGATCCTCTGGCTGCTGCAGACGGCGAACACACTGGGTGAGTGAAGGGCAGAGGGAAGGCCTCTCCCATAGTGAGGCATATGTCAAATAGTGGTATCGCCAATATATTGCCTTAACATTTTACATTAATTTGAATGGCGTGTATTTTCAATGAACTAAATGTAAACTGCTTTACTTCTGATGGATTATTACAATTAATTTAAGATGCATTACCTGTGTAGAGTTTGCTAGGTTTATTTGTGAAATAACAAGTGTTGCACTATTGTTCTATAATTAAAAAATATTCAATAATATTGGTTAAAACAAAATGCAACACAATAGGGGGAATGAAATGGAGTAAACGGTAATGTAAAATAAAAAAAATTAAACACAAATTAAGGCACAAAACTAAACGAGCAACCGACTGAAAACAAAATGGGGAGAAGACATTTGGAAAGTTACCTTGATATTTCAAAGTCAAATGGGCCAGTTTAAACCTTTAAGGAATCATAATCCATAAGAAATAAATCAGTAGTTTATTATAGGGAGGTGATGTGTGTCCTGTGTTGTGCAGAGTCACTCCGGTTGGTTTTGTGTCTGGTCTGTTGAAGACAGGAGTGAAACACTTGACTTGTGATTTATAAGCTGGAATTTGGTGGATGATGATGATATCTACTATTGCAACAAAAGTCTTCCTCTGTGCTTAAGCCAGAAGTCGAACAGGAAGCCCTCTGAAGGACCACATTACCTGTGTGACATGATTTGTGTCCTTGCTCATTTACTCTTGCAACTAAAATCTGCCATTGCAGTTCATTTCATGAAACTGTCATATTGATAAATCCTGTTATTTTTGTACTGTCGGATATAGACTGTTCCAACTGTATTTTGCACCATTGCTGTTTGCAGTTTTCAAATATGTTTTTTCTTCTGTTGGTAAATAATATTCAATCTTTATCAGAACTTAATTTTGCAATAATGGAGCATTTAACTGCCAGAATGGACCAGGTGAAAAACTAGCAAATGGTTGATTGATAATGTTTTTGGAAAACAAACTACAAAGAAAGTATCTATGTACAGTTTGCATATTGTAAAAAATGTTTGCATTCTAGAAAGACCCGAAGCGTAAAAGTGTTAAAATGCGGCCCCGCTGCATGCTTCAGTCTCGTACAGTGAAACCGTACAACCTGCTTCATCCCGAGGAGATGAAAAGATGAGACGAATGTCTTTCGGGCGCTGAGGTTTGCCTGTCACATTTCAAACGATCATGTTAAACTGAAATCTTAGCAATGCTCGCTATGTAGCTCTTTCCTTTCCTCGGCCCTCTCCCAAATGTTCTTGTGACGATGCGAAGCAGCCATATATTCTTTTCTCTTTACCATCGGCCTCAGTTTGTGAAATCAAAGGCAGCTGGGCTTCGGTGGCAGCAGCAGTCTAAATATAACATCCATCTGTGAGAAGGGAAATAACGGTTTTACTGCTTATACACAGTCGCTCCATTGACTTCTGTAGAGCCGAGGCTGGTCCGTCCCAAAAATCTGCATCGGAATATTAACTCAACCTCAGACTGGATTCCTTTATTACAATCTGATGGAAAAATTCATTAAGGGACTTTACGAAAAGTGTTTGGGTCTGGAGGGGGGCTGAACCTTATGTTTCACTTTTTTTTAAAAAGCCAAGTCCTCCAGGAGGTTATTCTTTCTTCCTTCAATTTATGAACAAAGGAGTGGATGTTTTTCCAAAGCTAAATGTTTGTGTCTTCTCCCGTTTTTATACAATATTAACCTGATACTAGTTTAACATTGAATGTCTTGTGTTTAAGGTTATGGTGCTCAATCTGGAGTACCAAATGGACATGGGCCACAAACTAATGGTAAAGTCATTACACTCTGTACACTTGTCTCTTTATAAAATGCATACAAATGATTTATTGAGTGGGATTTCCACTCAAGCTGAAACGTTTGTTCACATGTCATGTTTGTTCCAGGAAATGTACCTCAGAATGGTGGAGCTCTGGGACGAATGCTGATGCCATCGAAAGGTAAATAACAGCCAATATCTCCAGCCGTGAAATCTTCCGTCCTGAGGATTATTTTATTTATAAACAATGTTTTTTTTTTTAGGTGTGGGTCAGCCAATGGGTGCACAAAATGGATACGGTGGATACCCCACAAAAGGCATAGGTTAGTGATGCATACGCACATACATCTGCACGACAGATTGATGTGATTAGAAACATTTTCCAAATGCAGTTGCAAGTACAAATAGAGCTAAATCTAATGGTAAATGTGTTTCACAACATAAAGTGCAAATATATATATACCTTGTTCTAACTTTTTATCATCAAACATCTCGTATATTTCAGGCTATGGTGCTGCGGCTGGTAGCACAAATGGAGGAGGAAATAAAGGTAAGTTCTGTTAAATAGGTATTTTTACTTTATTGAAATAAAATACTGTAACTTATAGGCCTACCTCTGTTAGAACTTGTTTAAGGATATTTTGCTTATTTTTTCCCCTTTTTTGTTTGTCAGGTTATGGAGCAAAAGCTGGTGCGACAAATGGACAAGGTGGCAACCCACAAGGTATGTACTACGATTAAAAATAAATTTAAAAAAAGACATTTAGCTGGAAATGCAAGATTGTCATCTCTATTTTACCCCCAATCTACTGTTTAACTCTTAGTCTAAAAAAGTGGATGTCAAAGTTGTTTTTTGCTCTGTGTCTTCCATTGACTCTTCTCCGATCTCTTAATATATTGATTTGAATTCAGTAGGAAATCCAGCAGTCCTACCCAATGGAAATGGAGGACAATCTAATGGTAGTTGTAACACACATCTCTCAATTAGTTTTCCTATACTTTACAATCTTTCCCAGTGTAACTTATTGAATATTTGCTATTATAGTCTCACTGTGATCTTTTTGAAGGATATGGTGTTCAAGCTGGCCCTACCAATGGACAACAAGTTAAAGGCAATGGTATGAAACCAACCAACCAACCAATACACACACACGCACGCACACACACACACACACACACACACACACACACACACACACACACACACACACACACACACACACACACACACACACACACACACACACACACACACACACACTAGAGTAAATTCACTGAACAAAATCCCTGTTAAATGTTTTATTTTGTTCTTCGACAGGCTATGGCGCACAAGCTGGCCCCAACAATGGACAACCAATTAAAGGCAATGGTATGAAACAAACACTAACACACACTTACACACACAAATATGCTAAACAACAGCACTGTTACATTTTAAAACTCTTTCTGTGGCAGGTTATGGTGCACAAGCTCGTGGAAACGGCGGACAACCAACTAAAGGAAATGGTATTGTAGATATAACCTTTATCTATACTTGCAAACACACGTCTAGTGTTATGATAATTGAAACATTTACATGATATGCATACATATTAATGAAAAAATACAGTATATTAAAAGAAGACATGGAAATAGTATATAATACTGTGACATCTTGTCAGCTTGAATTGCTGGTATCACAAGAATAGTGGCTGAAATGTTTTTGGGGAGAAATCATACACGCTGAGATGTAACTAAACTAAACTGTCTTTAATCTGCAGGTTATGGAGCACCAAATGGAAACAGAGGTCCTTACACCGGTAAGTCCTGTTTCAGTATTTCCTGTCGACAGACCGTTGCTGAATTTAGAGTACTTGACACATTATGTATTGAACTGTAGATTATCTGTTTGAGGTCATTCTACTATTGTGCAACATTTCGAAATGAGTCTCTTAGTGTTGGTGTCTTTAATTGGCTTTAGGTTATGGTGCTGCTGCTGGAGGGAATGGAGCTAAACCCAATGGTGAGTGACCATTAATAATTTTATTTATTAAGTTACAAATGACAATATAAATTCATGGAAAACTATTTATCTTTCATTTATTTGTTTAGAATAAAATGTGATGTAGATTTTAAATCAGATACACTTCCATTAAGGGCTGAAACTTATATTTAATCATGGATTATATATAATTTTTCTGTTTAATACATTCACTACAAAGATAATTGCAAATGTGCATCACATGTAATGAGTCCCCTAAGTAATGTTTCTAATGATTCATAGCACAACAACCTTTCTGAAACGGAACGACACTGACCTTGTGTAAAAACCAGTCATGGCAAACTAATTGGCCATCGAATAAATATGTGTATTAGAATTGTCTTTTCTTTGAGTTTTTGTGTTTTAACCACTTGTAGGCAATGGCGCTGCTGCTGCAAATAAAGGATATGGAACAAAAGGCAATGGTAAGGAAGCTCCCACAGTATTTTAATAACTATCTATTGATTGGATGTTGATGATTCTATCTGGTGAAATTATTGTTGGTTGGTCTTAAACTCTGTGTCTGTGTATCATAGATGTATTAAATCTCTCTTTTTTGCCAGGCTATGCTGGTGGAGCTGGTGTACCTAATGGAAACGGGGCTAAAACCAATGGTAATGTCTGCCAGAAGTGAACTTTAAAGCACATATTTAGGTAAATAAATGTAAAAAGTATCTAATCTTTGAATATAATCGTCCTTTAGGTCAAGGAGCCGGAGCTGTACCATCAAACGGCAATGGAGGAATACCAAATGGTAGGGATTGGTTAAGAAAGGAGTTTTGGCAGCATAAAACAAGTTTGTCTGTTTACGTAACTTAAGCATGTCTCTATTTAACAGGGCAGGGGGGAGCTGGAATTAAAGCTATGAAAGCATATGGACGACCCACTTATGGCGCAGGTAACTCATCTTCTGCTGCCTTGTTTTCCAAGTTATTGTAATATTTACTTTAATGATACATGTGTGGTTTAAGGTCAAGGAGCGTCCAGAGGGATGGGAGTGCCTCAGCTTGCCAGGAACCAAGGTGAGTGAAGGCCTCCTCACAGAACTGAAGTTACTACCTAATACACCTGTAACAATGTCTTTATTTGTTCTTCCAGGATATGGCGGCAATGGTTATGGAGCTCAACCCATGGGAGGTGAGTCATTCATCATAAGTCAGGGCATTTTGACATGATTTACAGCTTGAAGAATACAACTTAAATGCTGTTTTAATATATATGTTTCCTGTTTTTATAGGCTACAATGGCGGTTATGGGGGCACCGGTTTGGGACCTCGGTATGGAAACCGAGGAATGAAGGGGCCAAAGCAAGGTATGAATGTCACACGTGTTGAATGAAAATGATATATTAGTGAATTTGGTTATTTTAATGTTTTGGATTACATGTTACTCCTCTGAAGCCTTTTTGTTAATTGTCAATCTCAGGCTATGGAGCTGCAGGTGGTGTGCCCAATGGACAAGGTGCAAAACCCAATGGTAAACCTATAAATAATATCCAATAATATAGTATATAACACCTATAAAAGAACAGACAGGCCTCCAATTATTATTATTATTATTATTATCTTAACTATTCAATTTAAATTAGTTTTTTTTAACTATTAATGTTATGGAAACCCCTGTGGCAGAGCTGGCAAGTTCAATGACATATAAAGAATATTTTAACCAATATCGATCCCTTGCACCACGTTATGACAACATTTTTGAAGGAATAGTTGTGCAGCTGTTAAATAGGAAAACATTACCATACATTTGTTTTAGAAAATAAAGACTTGAAATCTGAGAATCTGTGAATTTCCACATAACTCTGTTTTTCTTTTTTCTTTAAGGTAATGGTAATATTCCAAATGGGTATGGCGCCAAACCCAACGGTAAGACTGTCACTTCTTTTCTAAATGTATTTATGATATCAAATACTTTTTATAAATCTATTCAAGAATATGAAATTGAATGCTTTCTTGAATGTGTTTCAGGATATGGAGCTGCAATGAGACCCCAGCAAGGTATCGTAAACGTTCACGTTAAAAGAACAAGTTAGATATGATTATAGATGGTTTTTGTAATTATTTGTTTAATCATAGGTTATGGAAATGGAGCTGTTCCCAATGGATATGGAGCTAGACCCAATGGTAAATGATCGTATTTATAGTGTTGTAAATGTTCCTCATATACAATAATGTTGTATTTTTCAGTGGGATGGCATATTTATGTAATGTTTTGTATGACCCAAGGTTATGGAGCTGGTGCCGGAGCTGGAGCTGGTGCCAACAAAGGCTATGGAGCTAAACCCAATGGTAACTGATTGTATTTGGTGTTATGACTGTTTCTAATGTGGAATAGCTTTTTGCATTTTCAGTGGGATTGAATACTCATGAAATGTTATGTTTGACCCAAGGTTATGGAGCCGGACCTGGACCCGCAGCTGGAGCTGGAGCTAACAAAGGATATGGAGCTAAACCCAATGGTAACTCATTGTATATATTGTTAAGGAGGTGTAAATGTTTCACATGTACAATAACATTATTCTTTTTCAGTGAGATCTTAAAGTTATTTAATGTTTTGTTTGACTCAAGGTTACGGAACTAAAGCTGGAGCAGGAGTCGGACCTGGTGCTGGAGCTGGAGCTAACAAAGGATATGGAGCTAAACCCAATGGTAGCTCATCGTATTTATTGTTTAGGAGGAGTACATTTTTCACATGTACAATAAAATATGTTTTTCACTTGGATCTTAAAGTTATTTAATGTCATGTTTGACCCAAGGTTATGGAACTGGTGCCGGTGCAGGAGTTGGACCTGGTGCTGGAGCTGGAGCTAACAAAGGATATGGAGCTAAACCCAATGGTAACTCATCATATGTATTGTTAAGGAGGAGTAAATGTATCACATGTACAAAATAAAAATGTCAGTGGGATCGTAAAGTTATCTAATGTTATGCTTGACCCAAGGTTATGGAGCCGGACCTGGACCTGCAGCCGGAGTTGGAGCTAACAAAGGATATGGTGCTAAACCCAATGGTATATGATTGTATTTATTGTAAAGATCTTGTAAATGTTTCACATGTAGAATAATGTTATTCTTTCATAGTGGGATCTTATATTTAGGTAATGTCATGTTTGACCTAAGGTTATGGAGCTGGAGCCGGAGCAGGAGTCGGACCCGGAGTCGGACCCGGGGCTGGAGCTCGGGCTAACAAAGGTTATGGAGCCGGACCTGGACCTGCAGCCGGAGCTGGAGCTAACAAAGGATATGGTGCTAAACCCAATGGTATATGATTGTATTTATTGTAAAGATATTGTAAATGTTTCACATGTAGAAAAATGTTATTCTTTCATAGAGGGATCTTATGTTTAGGTAATGTTATGTTTGACCCAAGGTTACGGAACTGGTGCCAGAGCGGGAGTCGGACCCGGTGTTGGAGCTGGAGCTAACAAAGGCTATGGAGCTAAACCCAATGGTATATGATTGTATTTATTGTTAAGGAGGAGTAAATGTATCACATGTACAATAAAAATAGAAATGCCAGTGGGATCGTAAAGTTATCTAATGTTATGCTTGACCCAAGGTTATGGAGCCGGAGCTGGACCTGCAGCCGGAGCTGGAGCTAACAAAGGATATGGTGCTAAACCCAATGGTATATGATTGTATTTATTGTAAAGATATTGTAAATGTTTCACATGTAGAATAAAAATAGAAATGTCAGTGGGATCGTAAAGTTATCTAATGTTATGCTTGACCCAAGGTTATGGAACCGGACCTGCAGCCGGAGCCGGAGTTGGAGCTAACAAAGGATATGGTGCTAAACCCAATGGTATATGATTGTATTTATTGTAAAGATATTGTAAATGTTTCACATGTAGAATAATGTTATTCTTTCATAGAGGGATCTTATATTTACGTAATGTCATGTTTGACCTAAGGTTATGGAGCTGGAGCCGGAGCAGGAGTCAGACCAGGAGTCAGACCAGGAGTCAGACCAGGAGTCAGACCCGGGGTTGGAGCTGGAACTAACAAAGGCTATGGAGCTAAACCCAATGGTAACTCTCCTGTCTCTCGTGTAGAAAAACATTATTGTTTCTCAGTGGAATCTTTTATTTACACAATGCTATGTTTGACCCAAGGTTACGGAGCTGGAGCCGGAGCTGGAGCAGGTGCTAACAAAGGCTATGGAACTCAACCCAATGGTAATTGATTGTTTTTATTGTTAAAGTGTTTTAAATGTTCCTTATTTAGAATAACATTCTTTTATTTAAGTGAGATGTTATATTTATGTAATGTTATGTTTAACCCAAGGTTATGGAACTGGTGCCGGAGCAGGAGTCGGACCTGGGGCCGGAGTCGGACCTGGGGCCGGAGTTGGACCCGAACCCGGAGCTAACAAAGGCTATGGAGCTAAACCCAATGGTACAAGATTTCATTTACTGTTATAAATGTTTCTCATGAAGAATAATCTTTTTTCTGTTCCAGTGGGATGGAATATTAATGTTCTCTTATGTTTGATCTCAGGTTACGGAGCTGGAGCTGGTGCTAACAAAGGCTATGGAGCTCAACCCAATGGTAACTGATCATATTTATTAAGTGGTTTAACTGTTCCTCATGTAGAATCATCGTATTTTATCTAAGTGATTTATTTAATGTTTGACCCAAGGTTATGGAACTGGTGCCGGAGCGGGAGTCGGACCCGGGGCTGGAGTTGGAGCTAACAAAGGATATGGTGCTAAACCCAATGGTAACTCTCCTGTCTCTCGTGTAGAATAACGTTATTCTTTCTTAGTGGGATCTTATATTTACGTAATGCTATGTTAACTAAAGGTTACGGAGCTGGAGCCGGACCAGGAGTCGGAGCTGGACCCGAAGCTGGAGCTAACAAAGGATATGGTGCTAAACCCAATGGTAACTCCTCCTGTCTCTCGTGTAGAATAAAGTTATTCTTTCTCAGTGGGATCTTATATTTACGTATTGCTATGTTAACTAAAGGTTACGGAGCTGGAGCCGGACCAGGAGTCGGAGCTGGACCCGAAGCTGGAGCTAACAAAGGATATGGTGCTAAACCCAATGGTAACTCCTCCTGTCTCTCGTGTAGAATAAAGTTATTCTTTCTCAGTGGGATCTTATATTTACGTATTGCTATGTTAACTAAAGGTTACGGAGCTGGAGCCGGACCAGGAGTCGGAGCTGGACCCGAAGCTGGAGCTAACAAAGGATATGGTGCTAAACCCAATGGTAACCCCTCCTGTCTCTCGTGTAGAATAAAGTTATTCTTTCTCAGTGGGATCTTATATTTACGTATTGCTATGTTAACTAAAGGTTACGGAGCTGGAGCCGGACCAGGAGTCGGAGCTGGACCCGAACTTGGAGCTAACAAAGGATATGGTGCTAAACCCAATGGTAACTTTCCTGTCTCTCGTGTTGAATAATGTTATTGTTTCTCAGTGGGATCTTATATTAACTTTATGTTATGTTGGACCCAAGGTTACGGAGCTGGAGCTGGTGCTAACAAAGGCTATGGAGCACAACCCAATGGTACCAGATTTCATTTAGTGTTACAAAAGTTTCTTATGTAGAATTTTTTTTGTTCTGTTTCAGTGGGATGGAATACTCATGTAATGTTGTGTTTTGTCCCTAGGTTATGGAGCAGGTGCCGGAGCTACCAAAGGCTATGGAGCTAAACCCAATGGTGAAAACTTGTTCAAATACACACAGTATATACATTAAGGAGTAGTTCACTGCTATTACATATGGAAGACTTAAAATGCCTACATACAACGGATATAATTAATATGTTAGAAGGACAATAATTGAATTTCTTTTGGACAAAAAAATAACGTGCTGTGATAACGTGCAGTTGATTTTCTTTTCATTGTGCAATTTCCATTCCAAAAAAAGAATGCTCCAAACCTCTTCATGAAAACGATGTATCGGCAGGCCTTTGCTGATTTGCTGAAAGGGCAGCACGGAAATATAAAACACTAAGGCCAAATTGTCCTCTCGATCTTAATCTACATGAAAAATACTTGAAAAAATATAGTTGTATGCCATGGCACTGTTGAGAATTGCAAATCATGTGTTTAGAATATTTAGTTTTTTGCAGGATTCAGGAATTTGTTTATCAACACATTGTTCTTTACAGGCTATGGTGTTCCAGCTGGTGTACCTGAAACTGCATTTACTGGTAAATGATCCTGTACACGTATTTATTTTAACTCTGTTATTGTAATATTTAAATGTGCTTTATATTATACAGTTTGCTGTATAGACCTTAGCTTCTAAATGTCATTGTACATTTTTTAAAATATTTTCTATATAATTCCCACTCTCTGTTTGGTTCTCAGGCTACGGGAAGGGTCCAAAGGGTCCAGGTGTGTCCAATGAAAAGGGCCTAAAAGGTGGAGTTCCCGCACCTGAGCAGCCGAGTGAAACACCTGAAGAGATTTTTGCAACTCCACAGGAACTAACAGAGGACGTAGTACCTTTTGTCCCCGAGCCGACGAGTGGTATCGTTGTCATGGTGACGCAAGAGAAATATCAAAAGCAGACGCCACATTTGACACCAGGAAAGAGCTACAAACAGAAACCCCAGATCCCTCAGGCTACAGCAGCACCAGAAGCAGAACCAGAAGCAGTACCATATGCAGAACCAGAACCAGCGTTTCCTCAGGGAAAAGGCCCAATGCCTGTATTTGAACCCACACCTGAGCCAGGACCCATATATCCACAAGGCAAGGGGCCAAAGACCTTCACATCTGGACCTGTACCAGAGGTTCCTGAGTCCCACCCGGCACCTGGTGTCCCTGAAGGCAAGTACCATAAACCTGTAAATCTGAACATGTTTTATATATTTAAAAAAAATCAAATGATAAAATATTATTATCTTAATATAAGATTAGATTGACATTACTTCTAGATAGAGCCACATACTGTATTTATTTTTATATTGAACAAATGATCCCAATTAATTGCGTGTAACACCACCAATTATTTGACCTGGTCTTCACAGTAATTTAATATCCAAAAAAGCACGTCAATATGATTATATTTTTCCAACTTATTCGAGCTAATGCAGTCATATGGTATAATTCTGCACTTATGAGCTTTAATGAAAATATCTATACACATTTCCTTCAAGTTTGAAGGAGACATATTATTTAAAACACACTTTCTTAGTGTTTGTGCTCGTATATCTGGAGTTGTTACCAACCCGCAAACTGTGAAATGAGTCAACCCATACCGTGTGTTTTGGGCTGTCCAGGTCATAAAACATGAATTTCAACAAGAAATGTGGATTTTGAGTCATTAGAATACACCTAGAATTGCACCTAGTTTGGTTGCAAGGTTTTTCTTTAACATTACATTACATTACATTACATGTCACTTGTTAGACGCTTTTATCCAAAGCGACTTACATACTCAATACTGTGGGCAATCCCCACAGGAGCAATTTGGGGTGAAGTGTCTTGCCCAGGGACACAACGACATGCTGACTGCAGTGGGGTTTGAACCTGTGACCTCCTGATCCGAATACCACGGTTACATGAAGCATGTAACCGTGTTCTAGTAAAAACCCAAAGATACAAGTATGACTCTTAATGAGCATACTATGTATATAATAAATGTGGTTATTTGCTTTTAAGTGGAAGTGAAGAAATCAGAGCGTTGGCAACCAAAACATGATTGTTTTAAAGATGTATGCACCTTTCTTATGCACACACACACAGAGAACCAGCACTCTGTTGTTGTTCAGCATTGTTTTAACTTTATATAAAATAAATGTCAGTATCTATTTCTGTTCAGTTAATTTTGGACTGTCTGCAATCAAAATATGGCGGGGGGTTTTCTGGAAAATGATGTTTTTTTTTAAAATTGTTGCTTTTAATTGATTTTTTGATTATCTGTATACAAATACAATGGAAAATGTTCAGTGTTTTTTCTTCTACAGTTTTTTTTTTTATGCATGGGGACATAATCAGTGATTCTTTCCATACTTTATTACCTAGATGAAATGTTGATGAAACATGTGACCTCTAGGTTTTGTGACTGCAACTGCTGTGCCTGAGCAAAAAGAGGCAGAGACAGAGGTTCTTGTGGAGGTAGACAGTGACAGTGAAGGGGATGCTGCCCCTATGAGCACACAACCCCCCACTGTCACTGCAACAGTAGCAGCTAAAAGTATCACTCCTGAAGTAACTGTGGGTGTGCCTGAGTCCACACCTGAAGAAGCAAACCCAGAGAGTCAGCCTGAGTTCGCACCTGAAGTAGCAAACCCCAAACATCAGCCTGAGGAAGCACCTGGCAGGGTCCGGGGCAAAGGTCTCCCTACAGGAGAAAGTGGGGAAACTGGTAAACGTAATCTTGGTTTAGGTGTGGTTACTAGCGTAGTGCATGTGTGAGAGTTGACCCAATCCGGTTTCTGCAAGTCTGTTGCAAAATTGTAGATATTATGATGACTTACACTGCAAGACGTGTGTTGTTTTGATGGTTAGGATTCAGTCTTACTTGTAATACTTTGGTCAATTAAAGTGATGTTCTCAATATCAATCTAAACACACAAATACACACCCATTAAGGGGGAGTTATCAAAAAGACTTTCAGTATAGCTGTCACAATATCAGATTTAGTGTTTTATTTTTTTCTCAATCATTTTATAATTGTGATATCTCTCTAATGAATGTCAATGAATGTGTTCATATCATATCTGTATTATTGAAATATTATATAAATATTTTTTAAATATCACAAAACCGTCGATTCCGGTTCATTGACACCCCTATTGTGAATGTATAAAGATGTGAACAGAGAAAGAAAAGCCAAGTATTACATTGAGAGTGAATCCTAGCCAGTGCTCATGGTTGTAATTGTTTTGGCTAGAAATATCTTGTGCGTTTACAATTCTGTTTGTTTTTTGTGTTGCATGTTTTCTTCAGAGTTGTCTGAGAAAATGACCAATAACAGATGTGTTTCTCTCCTATGTTTCCTTGTTTAATCCCTCACCAAGCTTTGTCATATCTAAATGATCGAAATGTTACTTTTAATGAGATATTCTGGGAAATCCGCTTATTTGCTGTTAGTAAGCCTTTTTGTACATATTAAACATATACAATATTGTGTTAGTTAAGGAGCTTTACTTGTGATTGTGGATGGATTTTGTCACCTCTGAACAGAGCCAGGACAAGTGTTTCCCTCTGTTTCTATAGTCTTTATGCTAAGCTAAGCTAACGGTGTCCTGGCTGTAACTTCATATTGACTTTACAGGCTGTAGAGAGGAATCAATCTTCTCATTTAAGTCTGGGCAAGAAAGTGAATAAGTGTATTTCCCAAAACGCCAAACTTTTCCTTTAACCTGTGGAGTAGGTTGAGAATGAACCAATTAATATGTTCATTTGTAAAAAGTGTGAAGTGTGTTACTTTGTTGTTTGGTCCTTGTAATGTATTTGACCTTAACCCTTAAGAAGGTTAATTTGGAGCATTCATGGTGCATGATGGGACTTTTAGGTTGAACCAACTGATTTCTTTTTTACCACATTGTGTCTTAATGATGTTGTAAGTGTACCATATTTTTAAGAGAGATAATCTGTTAATTCATTAAAAGTCCTGATCTTACAGTTTGTTCTTTACGATTTTCAGACAATGGAGGAGGAGTCGGCATCACCAAGGAACAAGGAGCTAAACAAAACAAACCTGGTAAATATTTCTCTCTTATTTTTGAAAAATATATACTATAAAAGCTGAAGTCCTGCGCCACATACATTCATGTCCCCCGTGAGATCTTCACGAACTCCTGAACTATTCATGTGGGGCCATCATCAGCTCTTATCAGCTTTACTTTGTATTTAGAGCTAATAAGCAAATGTGAGCATATTCACAAGCGAAACAAAACTAGTAATCATGATATATATTAGACAGGCTAAACATCAGCATGACTGTGTCCAGAGGCTCATTTTCTCATGTGTTCATGTTTGTTTTACTATAAGTTCCTAAATTGTGCTGATAATACATGTTAATGTTCTAGACTGTGGACCATCGGGAGTGCCAAACGGACAATGGATGAAAATACCAAGAGCTGGTAAGTATTACATTCTCCAATTGTCTAATGGCATTTACCTGGTAACATGTGTTAATTTATTACTTTTACTGCATGTACAATGTATTTTTAAGGAAATTAGAAAGTTTACGGTAAAACATTGGAGGACAGTAAGCCTTCACATGAACACTCTGATCGTCTCTAGCTCATATTTATAACCTAACATAAGTATTTTTTTCACTACCTTAATCATGCAGGTGCTGGAGCTGGCACCAACACGAAAGGTACTTATACCCTGAGCTTAGTCACTAAAGTATAAGTGTATTTTACATGCATACAAGGATACTTACAGCATTGTTACTATGGTTGATTATTCTTTCATTGATGTTTAGGTTATGGAGCAGGAGCAGGAGCTGGTGTTCCAAACAACAGATATGGTGCTAATCCCAACGGTAAATACACTTTATTCCTCACTTTGAATATTCCATTGTGTAAAATGTGCACAATAAAGCATTTTGCACATTATACTTCCAACCTTCTACAGGTTTGATATTGACTGTATGCCTAAGTGTCATAATGTTATGCCATTGTTTAGGACACGGTGCCAGGGCAGGGGGGGTTTTAAATGGAGGAGCTAAAGCAAACAAACCAGGTAAGTAGCCCGCTTATAAAACATCTGAGGCCAAGAGCTATGATTTTAAATACATAAAGTACAATCTAGTGTTCTGGTAATTATTAATTTACTGTGTTCATTTAGTCGTGGTTTATTCGTTTATATACTGTATATGCGTGAAAAGAACATATGGCTACTGAAGCACTCGAAGGCAAATGAGGAAAAAAATCCTGTGATACAGTTTCTGAATCTGACCTAAGAAAACAGATTTTTGTAGGGTTTTATAAAGTGATATTATCACTGTACTTACACATTTTTTCAAATGTACCATGATGTAAAGTTGATGTCTTAATAAAGTTGTATCTGTCCAAACGTTATGGAGCAGGAGGCTACAACGCCCCGGCACCCGGCAACGGATATGGCGCTGGTAATATTTACTGTTAATATAAACACATAGTGAATATTGACAATTTCCTGGTTTCCTTTTTCACTGCCAAGGAAATGTTGATTTGTTGTTAAAGTACCCTTGGTTTGTGTGTGCAACAGGTCTTGGATATCCTTATGCCCGAAAACCTCAGCAACCCGGTGAGTGCTTTTTATTTTTGTATGCAATTCAACTTCATAGGAATTGGAATTTGTTTTGATAATTTCTCTGTATGCTCTCAGGTCACGGACAGGGAGCTTACCTCGGAGCTGGATATGGAAATCCATACGGAGGTACATTTTAAAGACTAAGATTTAAACATTGTTTAACATTTGTAAGCTGATGATAGGTAAGGCTGCAGATTTGTATGTACTAAGGATTAAATATGACCCCCAAATATTCAGTCTTTCAAATTTTAAACTTTTTTTTAATCTTCTCAGGAAATACAGGTCAGGGTGAAGCAGGCAAGCCCCAATCCGGTAGGTTGTGATCTTAACACTAACTTTGTTCAAGCACTGAATCCATAAATGGACATCATATGCTTTTACTTGAGATATTTTATGTTCTTGTAGTTGCTGCTGTGTTATTGCAGGCCTTCTAGCTAAGCATACTTTTCCAAAATCAGATCATTAAGGTAGGTTATGATGTCTTTTTTGCAGGGTATGGATACGGCGCTGGTGTACAACCAGACTATGCAAGCAAGTACCGTTATATCAAACCTAGTTCCTTTCATTTTTTGTGAATTACAGTGAAAGTTAACATTTCTCTTCTCCTTTTTAGGTCTTGGTCAAGGTGTACCCACTGCTAATGGAAAATCAGGTACAGTTAAAGATACATACGATTTAAGAGTGAAGTGAATAAGATCTACGTAATATGAAACAGTGAAAATGAACATATCGTCCACTTCACTACTGATTCAACAGGTGGTGCCAAACAGATGCCTTACAATGGAGCCCCACTGGTTCCTGCTGGAATTGATGGTAAGACATGCTGACATATAAAAACATTGTTCGACAGTGAGCAGAATAATTTATAGCATGTCTGTCTATTTTTGTTCATCTAAAACATTGATGACCAACACATACAATCTGTTTGTAGGTCTATTAGTGTGTTTGCTTTCACTTCAGTATTCTTATGATTTGAGTTCAGTATCATTTTTGTGATAAATATGATCTACATATTCATCTCGATACGATACGATATACTTTATTGTCCCCGTAAGGAAATTAGTTCTGGACTCCGTCCTGCAGTTCCGCATACATGTACATATACAAACATAGTGGACATTAAGAGACATACACATATCATCAGTCATACACCGTTTGAACAAACACAATACACAGACGCACATACTGACAATGGCGACCTATTGCACTACCCTCATGGCCAACATTTAAAAAGTACATTTCATTCCATTTGACTACATTTCATTTCATGTGAATGTTAAGTAGCTTAATCGACATACACTGAACAAAAATATAAACGCAACACTTTTGTTTTTGCTCCCATTTTTCATGAGATGAACTCAAAGATCTAAAACATTTTCTATATACACAAAATAACCATTTATCTCAAATATTGTTCACAAATCTGAAAAAATCTGTGATAGTGAGCACTTCTCCTTTGCTGAGATAATCCATCCCACTTCACAGGTGTGGCTTATCAAGATGCTGATTAGACAGCATGATTATTGCACAGGTGTGCCTTAGGCTGGCCACAATAAAAGGCCACTCTGAAACGTGCAGTTTTGCTTTATTTGGGGGGTCTGGGGGGGTCCAAAAACCAGTCAGTATCTGGTGTGAGGGGTAGGATTAGGGGTAGGGTTAGGGTTAGGGTAATGTTGTGAATTGAGTGGCCTGTGTTCGTCATCCATAACCTACGCCTGCCCATACCATAACCCCACCACCACCATGGGCCACTCAATTCACAACATTACCCTAACCCTAACCCTACCCCTAACCCTAATCCTACCCCTCACATCAGATACTGACTGGATTTCGGACCCCAATAAAGCAAAACTGCACGTTTCAGAGTGGCCTTTTATTGTGGCCAGCCTAAGGCACACCTGTGCAATAATCATGCTGTCTAATCAGCATCTTGATATGCCACACCTGTGAGGTGGGATGGATTATCTCGGCAAAGGAGAAGTGCTAACTATCACAGATTTTTTCAGATTTTTGAACAATATTTGAGATAAATGGTTATTTTGTGTATATAGAAAATGTTTTAGATCTTTGAGTTCATCTCATGAAAAATGGGAGCAAAAACAAAAGTGTTGCGTTTATATTTTTGTTCAGTGTAGGTAGGAATGAGTGCTTATAGCGGTTCAGCCTGCTCTTGGGAACCCTAAATCTTCTACCAGAAGGTAGGAGCTGGAATTCTGGGTGGAGTATGTGGGTGGGATCAGACACAATTTTGTTTGCCTGTCTGATAATGGACTGCTCGTATATGTTTTGGAGAGATGGGTGTTTTTAACCCCCATAATTTTCATAGCAGTCTGTACCAGGCGAGCGATCTGTGACTTTGACTGCACTGTCAAGTTACCATACCAGGCAGTAATACCATACCTAATGATGCTCTCCAACACTGCATGATCGAACAGTAACATGAACTTCTGGTCGACTCCGAAAGCCCGGAGTCGATGCAGAAAGTACAATCGCTGTTGAAGTCTAGAGCACAGACCTTGAACATGCGCCTTCCAGCTGAGTGTATTATCTAGATCAGTGCTTCTCAAAGTGTGGTCCGCGGACCACTGGTTGTCCGTGAGCGCCCCCTAGTGGTCCGTGAGTATATTGGTAAAATTTCACATTTTAAATAAATAAATAAATAAAAGTTTTCCGCACTCTCGCAGGAATATCTCCACAATGGAGCGAGCTTAAGTTTCACTTTCAATTGCATGATATAGCCCAGCGCAACACCTTCATCCCACATGTTGCCACTCGTTTGTACCATTTGCAGGCGATTTGTAATCTGTTCTAGAAAAACGATGTGTTTTTGGATATTTTTGGAGTTAGGTGGTCCGCGAGTGTTTTTTTATTGGTTAAGTGGTCCTTGGTGTAAAGGAAACTTCTGTGTAGCTATGCAATGGGAGTCACCGACTCAGGAAGGAGACACGGTAGGAGCAGTAGCTTTGATGTCAAACACTGATGGTTTATTTGGAGTTACGGCCGGAGGATTCACATCACAAGTCCAAGAGCCAGAGGTTCTGACTTCACGGTAGAGTTGCCACGTCAATTCTAAAGAACTCTACCTCAGACCCATGTATTTAACCAGTTCTGAGAGCATCATCAAACTGCTGCATAACAAGATAAAATCATAACACCTCTATCAGCTGACGTCAACAGGCAGGAACATAGAATCATAACACCTATATCAGCTGACGCCAACAGGCAGGAACAGGGAGACAGAACACTGAGAGCACAGCAGCCAAGGTTACGAGGTGCGTGTGCTCAGTCAGGACAGTTTGAACTGATAAACTGGGTCAAAGTTATGGGCCTTGGAAAATATTTCCACAACACTTGGTATGAAAAAGTTTGAGAAACACTGATCTAGATGGACACCAAGGTACTTATAGGAGCTGACCTGAGTTATGGGTTCATTGTGGATAACCACCGGCCTAAGGTCACCCACTGCCTTTGGGTCCCACACCATCTCCTCAGTCTTCTTCACATTCAGCACTAGATGGTTAAAATCACACCACTGCACAAATCTCTCTATTTCAGAATGATAAGCCGATGAACTGCTGCCTTTGTGCATTAAGCCAAGGATGGCTGTATCATCTGAGAATTTGATGATATAATTCTCCAGGTGGATTCTCGTACAGTCGTTTGTGTACACAGTGTGAAGAGGACCGGGGAGCTCACACAACCCTGGGGGGCTCCTGTACTGATGGTCCGGGGCTCTGAGAGGGCATTGTTGACCCTGACATGCTGAGTGCGATTGGTTAAAAACGAGAAATACCATTTCAAGATAAAAGGATTACATTTTATACTGATCTTTATCAGTTTTTGAAGCAAGATGTGAGAAGAAAAAAAGCCGAGCTGAAATCCACAAACAGTAGGCGACTGCGTACATATGCCTTAGGGTCTTCCAGGTGTTTAGTGACCAGGTGTGTGATGCTATTTAGAGCATAGTCTGTGCCACGCCCTTGCTTGTAGGCAAACTGAAAAGGGTCTAAATGTACATCAACCTCTTTCTTTAGCAGCGGCACCATGATCCTCTCAAAACATTTCATGACAATGGATGTCAATGCAACAGGCCTAAAATCATTGTTTACCTTTGGACAAGGTTTTTTGGGGACAGGTTTTATTATTGATTTTTTCCAGAGGGTGGGGATGGTGTGAAGATCAACAGATTTTTGAAATATGGGACACCATGTTGATGTCAGTTCTTCTGCAAATGTCTTGAGAAGGAATGCAGAGATGCCCTGTGGCCTTCTTAGTACAGGTGTGTTTAAAAAGTGATTGCACCTTTAAAGGGTCAATCACCACCCTAACGTCCTGGTCAGTAGCAGAGATTGTCTCTAAGATGTCTGTACATTCAGAGGAGAAGTCCTGGGTTTCAAATCTCATGTAAAAGTCATTCAGTCCATTTGCTTTTTGCAGGTCATCAGAGGTACAGAGAGTTTTTTTAGCTGGAGTCATATTTGTGATTGCCTTCATAGTGTCCCAAAGTTCCTTGGAGTTCATTGTAGAAAAGTTCTGTTCAATAATGTCCTTATGTCTCTTTCTAGCTTCTCTGAGCATGTGGTTAAGCTCCTTTTGCACACATTTCAGTTGCGTTTTATCCCGGTTTTTAAAAGCTATATTTTTACGATTGATGCAGTCCTTAACCTCTTTAGTTATGTATGGTTTGTTGTTGGGGTACACAGTTATTTCTTTCTGAGGTATCACATTGTCAACACAGAATTGTATATAGTCAGTTACATCTCGAGGTGTAAAAGTCACTAGATCTGATAAACATGCATTTCCTCTGCAGGAATGAGCCAGTTTGAGCCTCAGGCTGCTGGTCTTGGTCCAAATGGAAAAGCGGGCAGCATGTACGGTGGTATGTATATCTTTAGTTCTTTCAAGTCTGTTATCATAAAAGAAAACTTAGTAAGGGAAAAAGCACAAATTGGCACTTAAAGAAAAACATTTGTAAACCAATTTTCTCCATGTTTCAGGAATGGGAGACTATGGAGGTCAGACCCCGGGAATGGGTGCAGAGAAATCTAACGCCAAGTATGGTGAGTGCCTATCGATCGCATTTCTCTCCTCAGTGTAAAGTAGCCTGGAAAAAAGGAAGTTTCATTTTCAGTTTCTTTAACTCCTTAATATATAGATAACAACATTGTGCTAACCTACAGTATTCTCTGCTCTCTGATTTAGGCATTGGTGGGTTGCAATTTGGTGGACAACCCCTCAATACAGGTAATAATGGCACAGGAAAGTATGGTATGTGGATGATAAATATTATAAAGGCTTGTGGACACTGTGTACTTTCCTAGGGAACTGCACATTCACTGTAAGAATCAATGAAAGCATTTATTTTCAGTCCAACGAGTCTTAAAGTCTTTTCAATTCTCTCCAGGTTATGCTGGGAACCCCTATGCTAGTGCGGGCAAATATGGTGAGTCAAGGAGTATCTTTTAATTCGAAATAATTCTACAGTACCATGAGAACATTTTGAGTGTGTTTGTCTCAACGTGGATATACTATTAATGATAATGTGAATTTCAAATACTTGCAGGTGGTCTTGGTGCCGGCATGGGAGAGAATCCTGCACAATACGGTCAGTGTGATGATGGGACACAACGTTGTTTTGGAGATAGAAGATTTGTATTTATTGAAGTAGCCATTTAAGTAAATGCCCACACTGATAGACGGATTTAGTCCAATTTCAAATGTAAAAGCTTGTTGGTGAAAAGGAATCTTGTCTTGGTATATTTTGAGATGTACTGTTTTCCCTCCATCTGTGTTCAGGATACGGTGGATTACCCAACGGTGGGCAGTACCCTGGTGTCGGCAGTAATGGTAAAACAGCCGGCAAATACGGTGAATAATTAGCTTTAACATATCTGATTAAAGCTACACAACTTCACCCCTTAACCTTTATATTATGTGTCTTCTTCCTCTGTTCTCCATCTTAACAACAGGTTACGGGAGAATGCCTTATGAAGCTCAGCCAGCTGGAATAAGCCCTGAAGCCAAATCTGCTGGAACATATGGTAAAACCTAGGGATGCTCCGATCGCCAATTTCGGGGCCGATCGCCGGAATCAGTATCGGCCGATACCGATCGCTGATCCGATCGAGTGGGCGGGGCCTAAATGGAAGATTTAAACATCACTTTAAATCTTCCATTTAAAGTGATGTTTAAAACTCAGTTAATGGGGCTCATTCACTGGAGCTTCCACAAACAACAATCAACTCAATTATTACATTCAAATGATGTACATTATTCAAGTTTACATTCACTTTGGATAATAACACGGGAGAAATTAGCGGAAGCGCTCGATTTTCCTCTCTCTCTCTCCCGACAGCCTGTCAGTATCTCATGCAGCTCACTGATCCAGTAATGAGTGACCCGACAATGAAGAATACATATATTTATAATAACTAGTTTAGCTTGTTCCAGAGGTAGATAAATAGCTAAGTGTGTTAGGTCTAACTCTTACGGTACGTCCACACAGCAGCTTTTCGAAAATCTTGGAGCTGGGCGTGTCTGAAAGCTTGGGGATTTTTTGCGAGCAACGCGACCAACAACCTGAACAACATGAATCTCCCGCCCCCGACATACAAAGCAAAAAAAAACCGGGGATTTTATGCGAGCAATATATATATATAAACTCCCCAAACAGGCGAAAACCTACCCGTTTCACCCACTGTCTCTGCCACCTCCCTCCATGCCTGGTTCCTCCGGTTTGTATCCCGTTCATAGTTCTGGTCGTAAAGAACCGGGCGATTTGCTACCGTAATTTCTCGTTTGGAATATGAGGAAATGAACTGCGGTCTGGTTCTCCCTGTGTGTGTGTTTCGCTGCGCTTACCGGTCCGGCGGGCGGAGTTGCAGGATTTCTGCTTCACACACACGTTGCATACCGCTATTTCGCTGTCTTTTTCGGACACCTTAAAATAATGCCAGACCGGTGAAGCCATTTTGGCGAGCTTGTTTTGCCGGACACAGAGAAAAGTGTCATGTATTTTACGTCATGCGATCGGCATGTTTAGAGAGCACCGATCGATCGGTAGAGTGAGAATCGGCCGATCTCGATCGGTGACCGATCGATCGGAGCATCCCTAGTAAAAACTTAAATGTTGGGAAATACTCTTAATAGCTCATTTTGTACGATAAATATGAAGCTACTTCAAGCAGCTGGTACGTTTAGCTTAGACTAAAGATTAGAAACAAAGAAAACAAATAGCCTCCAGGCACATCTAAAGCTCAGTATTTGTGTTATTCTGTTTATTTAAAGGAATACATTCTTAGCACTGCATCGTTTTATTTCTTTTTTGCAGGATATGGACATGGAGGTGTACAACCTGACTACGCAAGTAAGTACCATTTTAAATGAAACTGATTTTCATGAATTACAGCAGAAATTCAAGCAAAAATAAATGTCTATATTGTATCAGGTCTTGGCCAGGGCGTACACACTGCTAATGGAAAATCAGGTATGACATGTGAGATTACAGTTAAATAGGATATTGATTGAAGACATGGTACAACAGTGAAAATGATGAATTATAGTCTAATTTACTGCTGATTCTACAGGCGGTCCCAAACAGATGCCTTACAACAGAGCCCCGATCGTTCCTGCTGGGCTTGATGGTAAGAAAAGCTATCATATACAAATAGGATTTAAAATTGAGCAGAATAATCCACATTGTAATCCACAATGAAAACTAAGTGTTGTGTGTGTGTGCGCATACAAACAGACACAAAGGGAAAACATGGAACAAACCTTAAAAAAGCTGAAATCCAAAATGCTGATCATCACATTTTGGGAAAATAGTTCCTCAGAATTCATGACAGACTTTTCTTTGTGCTTCATCGAAAGCTTCAGTGACTTCATTATTTCAAATTGAGGGGCTTTCTAATTTATATAATCTGTTTTCATACAATCTTAATATATTTTAAGTCCAGTTTGCAGGTCTATCAGTGTGATTACTATTTTCAGAAACAGTCTAAGTCTGAATACTTTGTGTATTCTTACAGGAATGAGCCAGTTTGAGCCGCAGGCTGCTGGCCTTGGTCCAAATGGAAAGCTGAGCAGCATGTATGATGGTATGTATAACTTAATTTCTTTCAAACTTTTTATAACACAAGAAAACTCTAGAAAAACACAAAACGCACTATCAAAATAATATCAAATGTAGTCCAAGCCATGAAACCATAGACTGGCTATTTTCTCAGACGGACATTCAAAAGTCATTTTATACACAGCTTAGTAGTTTTAAATATTTAATCAAACATTTTCTCTTACGTCTAGCTGCGTCACAATATCAGACTGAACCACTTGGACAGAACGGAAAATCCACAGGAATATACGGTAAGATTCAGCAAAAATAAATGACAGCTACTTTATAATTCTCCCTTTATTTATCTATGTATTATTTGTTTACAATGTCCTCTCTATGTGGCTACTAAGGTGGTGGTGAAGTTCCCTATGCACAACAAGCTCCTGTTCTTGGAGGGGATGCAACATCTTATGGGAAATATGGTACGGTTTATCCTTTTGTGTGTTCTTTACACAACAATCAGGATTAACATGTTTACTAAAAGATTCCACTCTCAACAGGAAACCAGGGACAGTACCAGCCACAGCCTTATGAAACTGCATCTGAAGGTGAGAACACAATATTTTGAGCTTATTGCTGCTGAATACTGCAGTTTTCTTAGAATAGTGCAAAAATATATATCTGTTTGCCTTTAACAGATGCAGGTTTACCTTATGAGCCGCTGCCTCTAAAGCCAGATTCAGCTGTGAAATCTTACGGTGCATTAGGTACAAAGGTTTCTTTTCGAGGGACTAACAACACAAATATACCTCAGACCCCGATCATTAACGTTTTTTATCTTCTCCTGCCCTATCAGTGGAGGGAGAGGGACAGACGCCAGAAATCGCGGTTGAAGGCGAAAGCATGTCCCTTGATAGATACGGTAAGATTTGAGTGCGTTTCTGCATGGTGGTTTCTTGTGGTATAATAAATGCATAAAGGTAATAATAAACTGTTTGTCACTTTCAGAACATGTGGGCTATATCAATGGAGAAGTTCAGCCAGAAGGTAAAGGGAAAACTGAACTTAATATACCTAATAATCTGAGTTTACAGTAACACAATTAACTTGTTTTTCCTCTGTCCTGTCTCTTCCTCCCTAGTTGTTGAATTCCCTGGAGTTCCCACTTCCAGCCCCACCCTGGCCTACCCCTCGGACCACTCTGACCCCTCCTATCTGCCTGTGGAGGTCTTCACTCCTGCAGCAGGAGTCGAGGACCTGTCGGACCCCGCCGGCTCTGACGACCTCCTCCTCCACTCTGCCCCCGCCACAGAGACGCAGGGCGGCGCTCAGCCTGAGGATATGCAGCATCAACAGGAGATGCCCCGTCAGATACACATCCAGCAGCATCTCAAACTGCATTTTCACCCAAAAGGCAAGTCCTCCAGAGGGTCCAAATAAACTGAATTGCCAATTTGTGGCGTCATACGCCAGGCAAGATGTTTTCCTGTTCCCAGTCTTTTGTCGGTTGAGTTGTGTTCTTGCATTATCCCTAATGTTTCTAACACATTATCAACCTAGAGAAATATGTAAGGTCTGTTTGATTTGGTCTTTATGACTATGTATTCCCTTTGATCATGCGTTGTGGTTGTCTGCCAGAAGATGTCAGAAATTGACTTTTTATCCAGTTGTAAGCCACATTTAGACCTTTAAGACCTTAGTTGTTTTTGAATATAACATACTTACCCGATGAAGGGTTTTAGTCATCACACATGGACCTTTGAAAAATTGTGAGCAAACGATAGCAGCAGCCAGGCGGCATTGGAGAAACACTGATTTTTAACATGAACCCTTGTGATAACTGACTGTGGTGAATCTGATGACCTGACACTACTCCAAAATACCACCAAATTTGGTATTTAGTTTTTGTTATGATTGAGAGATACCTAGTGGCAGAAAACAACATATTGTGCTTTTAAGCTACATAATAAACCTACAGATATGAAAGTAGTGTAAATGGAAGAAAGAGAAGAAAGTTTTTTTTTCCAAAATGTCCAACTCCTTTAAATTCACCATGTTGGACATAAAATTCCGGTCAAACACTTTGAAATAAAACATTGTTTGCACAACTGTTTGATTATTGTTCTTATCTTCGTTTTCAGAAGCAGCAAAGACCCGCAAATTTGATTTGAATGGCTTCTTTGGGAATAGTGGCTATCAAGGTAAGAACAGAATCACTCAATCTAAGACATTATAATTTTCCGTTTGTTGTGCATCTACCTGACTCATGTCTCTCCACATAGGTTAAAACTGCAGACAACGACGATTATAACCTTCATATGCCGTTGTATATTATTTTTGAATATTTCCTAATTGTATATTATTTTGTCCTGTCTTTTGAATAGTCCTGGTGTTTTTTGTGTTTGTTTGTAGAGAGAAAACTGCATTTAGAATTATTAGATTTACTTGTTTATGTATATTTGTATGTATCCTATACATTACGTTATCATCCTGCACTGCCTGCTCACTGCACAGTGCAAAGATGGAGTTTGTCTGCTGCGAATATCAGTGTTGTGGTAGAAGCAGTCTGTTTTGCCTGATATTATCAACTCATATAAATCCTGTAAACATAGTTCAGTCTAATTTATTTTGCTTGGGAAAGGGTTTTTTACTACTTGTGGCAAATATCTGTTTATTATTGTACCGAATTTGAATGAATAAAACCATCAATGAATACCAACAGTGGAAAGTGCTTGTTTGTGTGTTTCTAAACATTTGATATACAGCGTCGGTAGTGGACAATAAGTTATATTACTCAAGTATGATTTTTGTGCGAGCTAATTATACTCCAATTCCTGCTACTGTATACCTACTCCCATAAAACTCTATTTAAAACTCTTGTATTTAATAAAACTATATATATAATCAATGAATAGTTTATCATGTATTATCGGAAACAATAAACTTTATTTATCTGACGTGTTGTGTATGTAAATAAAGCTCCTCCTTTAACAGCTAACAAGGAACACATTTATGTATCAATCATTTACCATTATAAAATATATGGCCTTATAATGTTATGAGGAAGCACGATGGCAAACAGTCATAAAATATATACTTTTCTGAAATGGGCTGTTTTACTTTTGGTAAATTAGGTATATTTATTATGTCCTTTCAAGTATAATTTGAATGCAGGACTTTTACTTTACACTATTTCTACTTTTAATTAAGTAAAATATCTAAATACTTCCAACTCTACAGTTTAGCCAAACCCATTAAAGGCACATACTATATTATTATCCGTGTCACTAAGTATTGTAATTTCCAGATTATCCTGAATGCAACTCATTATCAATGAACATGGGTTCAGGGGTCGGCAACAGGCGGACCGCGGTCCGGATCCGGACCCAGACGCCGACCTATACGGACTCGGTGCTATAATCAATACATTAATAGGGGATTTTTCGGCGCCTCCCGCTTTTTTAACGCTGATTTGGGTGACTTGTGTAATTCGTGGAGAACCGAAGAGTTTTCGTTTTGGGGGTGGGGAGTCCTTCCGTCAGTCCGACTGATGGACAACTTCTCACTTCAAAAAAGAAGAAGAAATCTAGACCGCAAAAATAATTAAACAAGCGAGTACCTGTTTTTCCTGGCCAAGGACAGGTTCCTTGAACACAACACGAGCGTAACGTGTCTTCACGTGGTATATGTCTCGTCTGAAATGAGTGCTGACAGAGAGCACCGGAACGCCGCTCCAGCCCTTCAAATATTGCAGTACCATAAGGAGCCGTACACATGCCACAGTGTTTACGTGGCTGTGTCTTTAGTTGTAAGCACAGTGGCGATCTGTTGTTATTAGCATCTAGTTAGCTAGCTATGCTAACGAATTTAAAGAGCTTTTCTACAACCACCAGGTGGAAGAGAGCTCTCTCCTGAGAGGCTCAAATAACCTCAACTCAGTGAGGTTAAGGCACACCTTGATATGATCATTATAGTTATTAATGAGACTAAATGAAAAACAGGTATAAAATACTATATGACAGTAACAAAAAAGTTGTTAAAAATAACAAGAATAGAGTTTAAAAGGGGAGTGATTTGTAAAATATCCAAAAAGAAAAATCTGCTTACAGTTCTGTTGAAAAGTAGGGAATTAGATAAGGACTGTATAATGAAAGTTCCACTCGGAATGACGAACGCCTTGGGGTGTCGGTAAGAACACAGGAGTCTTGGTAGCGGTTAATTCCTTTTACTGAAGATAACACAACAGTCACAGTATTACAGCCTTGGAGCAGGTGTAGTGTATGTATATGTGTGTGGTCTATAGACGCTTCCTAATGACGTCACGGGATTTCGCGTCAGACATCTTGGAGTACCACTCTACTGGCGGGAGCGTTCAAAAATGGCGAAAATGAAAGGCTACTACGAATCACTATACCCGGAGGATAAGACAGTTTACAGAGAAAAATGTACGTCGATTGGTTCGGTGGACCCTTATTTGATTCCCGTTAAGGATTACAGCACCGATATAAATTCATGGCCTTCACTCTCCTACTGTGATATCGTGAACTACCTGGTTTTTTCGCCTATTCCATTGTACACCATGGAGGAAATGAAGGCGTACAAAGGACTCTAGGCACATAAAGAGTTCACATCCGGGTGGATCCGCGACGTTTGCGTTGCATATCAAGGAGATGTGGCTGTAATAGCTGGAAAAGTGAGTAAATATTTCGTGAGGTCCTCTTCAGCTGGCTTTTTAAATATCCCTAAAGTCCCCAGTGGCGTTTTCTCCTGGAGGCCAAGGGAAGCCAGGCTTCCCCTCTTTTTTCGGATTGTAGTTATAATTTTAATAAATAAATAAAAACACTTCGTTTAGTTTCGGAAATTCTTTGTTGTGTGTTGCTGCCGGCCCGTCTCTCCCCTTTGGTCTCTCCCCCATTCTCATTGAGTATTTTACAAAGAGTGAAACAGCGCCCCTCTAGATGTTATGGTGAAACAGTAGCTTGCACTCTCTGTTGCGAGAGGAGGCCAGCCGAAATTGGCTTCCCTTCGTGAAAAAAAATGGAGGGTTTGACCAATCAGACAAGGCTCACGTGATGCCCCTGCCAACCTGTGATTAGTCAGGGCCATGCCAAGGGAAGCCAGAGGCGGCTGGCTTCCCTTGCCTCACAATCCAATCAAATTGCATCAATTTAGTGTTGCAGTGACGCGTCGTAAAACCCGGAAGTAAGCTGCGCTCGGTTTCCCTCAGGTTTCCCTCGACAAAAAAGCAATTGGATTTCTCCATAGGATTTTGAAAAATAGCTCGAAATAAGGTCAGTGGAAAACGAACCTGTTTGATAAATGTACGTTTTGTTCAGCTGGATAATATCCACATGTCTACCCTACTTTTATAATTTTCGAATCATAAATCTAATCGATAGAAGATAGATAGCGTCACTGCACCACTCTCACCGCCGTTAGAAAGTAGCAAGCAACTGAAGCAAGGGCAATTATGGAGGGTGGAGATTTGGAGTATTTAATCAAACATAATTGTACTAAACTTCCACTACAGCAGCAACTAAAAATCTGATGACAGGCCAATGCCCAAACTGGAGCTGTGTACAGCGAGGAACAAAGGAGCGAATCGGACGTAAAACGGTAAAGGTCTCCTGATTTAGTTTGTGAATGAATGCTTATTAGAGTTTCGGCTGGAGAGTGCGTGCGGACCTGTCGGTTAGATAACAGGCGTGTGTAAGTCCTGCATCTGATACAAAAGTGTGTAAAATGATACCGGGTGCTGTAATCACTCATCTGGTTACGTTATTATATTGACCACCACACCCCCGACCCAAAAGAAAGGATGTATTATTGGCTTCCCCTAATTTTTTTTTTTATATTGTTGCATCAATTAACTTAGTCTTGTGTCTTATGTATTTTTATTATCATACCTTTTACCTCGCCGTGTCTCTTAACCTTTTAAAATGTTATATGTATATATGTTGTTGCTATGTACCTGTAAAGGTCTTAACATCTAATCTGAGGGGAATTTATTGTGGTTTATTTTTAACTTGTGATTGTAAAGCCCTTTGAGCTACACGTGCTTTATGAAAAGGGCTATTATATATTGCAATATATTTAAATTCCAAAAGTTGTGAACCTATTCTTGGTTGTCAGCTTCTGTTATGTGCTACCTAGCATATGACAAGCCGGTTCTAAATAGTCAACAATCCAATAATATTTTTGTATTTTATTTTTCAGGTATTGCATTCTCAGAGTATTGGGCTGCCGGTGTTCCGGATTAACTTGTTTCCCGATCAACTTGTTTCCCAATCAACTCGTTTCCGTGGGGTGCGTGGCTTTCGACTGAAATACACATTTCGATCGCTTTCTTCTGTCGTTTACATACATCTTTTGGTATATTTGGCTTCTTAGGAACACGTTGATGCACATCCAGTACCAGTGTGTGAGGTTGTGATTACGATGGCGATGGCGATATCCGGACGCGAACAGCGAGGACTACAACAAGACAAACGAGTTGCTTGAATAAATCATTTAAACCAGCTATTGTTTCCAGACTTATTACGGAATATCGTTGTTAATGTCCAAGTCCATCTGTGTATACCTTCAGACAGCCTCCAAGTGAAGCACACGGTGTTTACTCACAGTTTGAAAGCAGCGTGGAGAAGTCTTCATCTGTGTTAAACTGTGATCCTCCCACGGAACTGGGACCCGCCCACGTTAAAATGTGACCCGCCCAGGTTAAATTGTGTTACGATTTCTGTGGCTATCTACCAGCGATCATGTTTAATATGAAAGACTACCCACACATGTATCCCTTACAAAATCAATCATGCCCTGCGCGTTATGAGTGCGCCACGAATCTTCACGTCCTAACAGATCACCACAGCTCATTTTGTTACATTAATATTGTCAACAAGTTCTAGAAAAATGCAACCCGGAAACGAGTTGATTGGGAAACAAGTTGATCGGGAAACAAGTTGATCGGGAAACAAGTTAATCCGGAACACTGGCAACATGTCCGTGGGTACTGATGAAGAAGGATGGTGCAGTCATCACAGCTAACTGCAACTGCAAGGCTGGTTTGGGATCAACATGTACCCATGTTGCATCTCTCCTTTTCTACATAGAAACATCTATACGGATACGTGATGCCAGGACAGTTACCCAGGAAAAGGCGTCCCCTCTCAAAAGAAACAGAAGTACTAATCAATCTGAATGACAGTGTATATATTTATTTGATTGAACTTGTTTCTTTGACATCAAATCTATATAAAGAACATGTAAGTACACGGCACCTCTGTTGTTTCCCCGACTCAGACTGCAAGGAATCTGGGTGTGACTCTAGATCAGGGGTTCCCAAACTTTGCCATGCCAAGGACCCCCATATAGCATTATCCTCTGGCGGGGACCCCCCCTGTTGCAATTGTTTAGTCTAACCCTTTTTAAATGATGTGTACAAGTGCCTCACGATTGAGCATGCATTGCCACTACATTTGGGGCCTTCTGCCTGATCAAAGCTGTTACTCCGCTTTTTTGCCTGCCCCATCTGAACACACCCACACAACGAGACACGTCAAGTCCATTTGAGATTATGTACTCATCTAAAACTTGGAACATGTCTCTTCATGTGGTCCTACCTTCCAGTGCTTTGCAAAATAATATTTCCTCAACAAAGTTGTCTTCTGATATAAATCTGATGTATGCAAACAATTCTGCGACATTTGCTACATCCGTGCTCTCGTCCA